CGGGAAGCTCTGCCTGCTGCAACGTTGCCTTGGCTGCTTCCGGTTTGCATTGTCCGCCAGGCAATGGCCTGTGTGGTTCTGTGCAGGTGGCCCAGAACAGGGGCTGTGCCAGGGGCTGTGTCAGGGCCTGGGGGCAAGGATAGGGTTCTGAGGCTGGCACTGCCCTGAGCAGCTGCCTGGCGGGGCCAAGAGCGTCCCCATCTGTGTACTGGGTGGGGCAGAGATTTGGAAAAGGGGTTTGGTGCTGGAGCACTACCCTTAGACAGACCTGGGGTCCAGCTCAGGCTCAGCCACTTACTAGTTGTGTGACTTCCCGTAGAGGTCCGGCTCTCTGAGTCTTAGCTTCTCCTTCTGTAAAATGGGGCTACTAACAGCTCCTGCCCTTTGGGGTTGGGTTATGTAAAACTTACAGGTACCCACACATCTCTCCCCCTCAGGTAGTTCCTGGTGTCAGATAAGGTGCTGGGTGGTTTTCTATACATGCGTGTGATACTTTTTTTAAAAAATTAGAAAACATTGACCTCCACCTCAGCCAACCGCAGTTGGGATTTGTGGGCTTACCCAGGTCACACTGGGGTCATGTAATGCTCACGTCTCTTGGTGTAGATGAGGGAGGTGGTGAACTGTGACCTGCAGGACCAGTCCATTTCGCCGCCTAAACCGTAAACGGTCCTGCTAGAACACAGCCACATGCATTCATGTGTGCATCATCTGTGTCTCCTGTGCTACTGAGCCTGCATCAAGTAGCTGGGGCAGAGATGGACGGTGACTTTCTGAGCCACTCGCTAAAGCAGCCTGCTGACCCCTGACAGGGACAATGAAGGTCACAGGAAGTTTGGGAAACAGGTACAGGGGAAAGACATCATCCTGACCCCACCTCCCGGCACCACATGCTCCTTAGACTCTGCTGGCCTGTGCCTGTGTGAGCTTGTGACAGTGACCCAGTATTTTTCACACTGGCCATATGAGTCTGGGTGGAAGCTGTGTAGCTCCTCGCAATGTGCTTTGCTTTGGGCATTGTTCCCCCTGCGAGACCAGAGCACCGAGGCTCAGGGAGGGTTTGCTGTGGTGGGAGCTGGTGTCAACCTGGCCTGAGAGGGTGTGTGGTGGCCATAGTGACGGAATGTTGGTTCCCTCGGAGAGTTGATTGCTGGGTGGGGCTGAGCTGAGGCCCATGGGCCCTGGGCCCCCTTCCAAGGCCACTTTGTAAGTGCAGTGACCCACTTCCTCAGCTGACTGTGTGTCCGTCCGCCCCCCACCCCAGCCCCTCCGGTCTTTTCTTGGGAAGCACTTGACCTGCTGAGCTTGGAGGAATGCAGATTTACAAAGCTGTGTTGGGTTCCAGCCAGAATGGTGCTGTGGTGCCGCTGCCTCCATCTTCATCCCCTCTAGGTGTCTCTGCTTCTCACTGGGGGTTGTTTCCTGCTAAGCATCTATGCCTCATGTTGTTGGCACATGTGCTGGTTTCTGTGTCCCCCATTAGGATGTCAGCTCTGCAAGAGCCATGACCTTTGTTGACCTTTATGTGTCCCACTGGCTCTCACCAGGCCTGGTGTATTGTGCGCTAAATGGATGTGCATGAGGAGACCTCTTAGGCCCTCTCCCTCCCCTCCCATCCCTGAGCCCTCTGGGTAGCCATGAGTCAGCTGAAAGAGCTAGCAAAGTGGCCTCCTATTCTCTCTTCCCCCCATCTTAGGAGCGACCTGACCCCACACCAGGGATGGCATCTTGGGGACAGCCACAGTAGAAACTGCCTTTCTTCTGTTAGTAGTGTGGCTTCTGCTGATCACATCATGTCTCGGGCTGGGACTTCCTTGTTCTCAATAGGTGATAAAAATCCCTGCCTTGAGAGCTTCTGCCCCCAGATAGTGCTTGCTGTGGGCCGGGTGGCTCCGGTTTGTCCTAAGTTCTCCCCCTCCCAGCACTCCCTTGAACTAGTTCAGTGTTCAAACTGGCCATTTCAAAATACTCAGTAGCCACATGTGAGCCTCTTTCAGGGTATTATCCCCATTTCACAGAGAGGTTGTGTGATGTGCTGAGGTCACACAGCAAGTGGCAGGGGGAGCTGGGATGCAGTTGAAAAACCAACACTTTGTGATTTTGTCATACGGGAAGACACTGTGACAGCCCCATGGAAGTGTTGGTGGGGTGGCGGTCCTTTGTCTTTGCTTTTTTGTGGCACTGGGGATTGAACTCCGGGCCTTCACACTGAGCTACATCTCTGGTCTATTTTTTTAAAAAAATTTTTTTTTTGGTACCAGGGATCGAACTCAGGACCTTGCACTTGTGAGGCAGGCAGCAGAACCACTGAGCTAAATCCCTGCCCCCTTTTTGTTTGTAAATTTTGAGACAGGATCCCAAGTTTCTCAGGCTTGGCTTGAACTTGAGATCCTTCTGGGTTAGCCTCCCAGAGTGCTGGGATTATGAAAGTGTGTTTCTAAGAAAAAATGTCACCTTCCACCCTAGACACTACGAATAGCATTTTGAGTCTATTTCCCTCTTATCTCTTTTCCTCTCTGTGGTTTCTGTGTGTTGACTAGCTCAGCCGATTTGGTGATTTTGCTTTGTGGCATGGTTCCATGTGCCCACCACCCAGGGCGTTTCTGGTCCACAAAGCAGAACACAACACCCTCCCTGTCCATGGGGCTGATGTATGGGTAAATGAGGCAGGGCTGGGCATGGACAGCCCTTAGCTTGGCGTGAAGTACACAGTGGTACTAACTAGATGCTCCCCGCTATTACTGATGTTCTTCCCACCATAAGGGAGCTCGAGGACCCACACCTGCCTGACCATGCCCTCCAAGGCAGTGCTGTTCCAGAGAACTCTGTAGCGATGGGAATGTTCTGGCACTGAGGTTGGCAAACTTCTAGAAATGTCCACTCAGTAAATATTTCAGGGTTTGTGGTGCACGTATGATTCATGCTGCTGTTATTGCATCAGACTCTCCTCTTCCTCCTTTCCTCCAAGCCTCCCTAGACAAAATGTACAGTCATCCCTCCGTATCTGGGAAGTGGGCCCCAGGACCCTCCCCCTAGAGATGCCAAGATCCGTGGATGGTCAGATCCTTTCTATGAAATGGCTTGGTATTCACGCATCCTCTTGTATCCTTTAGATCATCTCTGGATTATTTCTAATAGCTGATACAATATTAATACCATGTGGATAGTTGTTAAACCATGTTGTTTAGGGAGTAATGACACAAAAAGAAAGTCTGTACATAGTCCCTATAGGTGCAGTTCTTTTTCCAAGTATTTTTCACCCGAGGCTGGGAATGGCCTGGCTGGACCATCTATCCTCAGCTCTAGGGCTGGACGGGAACAGACCCTGATCTGGATGTGGTTTGAGAGCCGTGGTTTGGCAGCCTCCTTTCCAGATCTCTGCTGCCCTGAAAAATAGGTCCTGGCCACATGTGGCTTTTGGTTGCTCAAAGTGTGGCCAGTGGGAACCAGAAGCTGTATTTGAAATTGTATCCAATTTGGCTGAATTTGAATTTAAATAACTTCACATTTCTAGTGGCTACATATTGAACACATTGTTCTGAGTGTCCAGGGGCCCCAGCAGCCCTGTCCTGTGAGTCTGAGAGGACCTGTGGTCCCAGAGGGGAAGCTGGGCATGGGTGTAGGAGCTGCAGGCTGGCAGCCTGGGCCTGAGCCAGCCTGCCTCAGGCACAGCTTCAAGGGTCGTGGCCCAGATTCTTTGTCTTGGTTCCCAGAGGGCAGCCTGGACTCGAGGCTGCCTGTGCTCCAGGAGAGCCTGGCCTGAGAATTCTGTTGTCTGGGGTCAGGATGGGGGCTGGCTGCTGAGGTTATAACTGAGGCCCCTTCTGCAGCTGGTCCTACATGTACAAATCAGGCTAGGCTTTCAGGAAGAGGAACAATTATAGAGACAGGGAGTGATGAGTAGGAAGTAGAGAGGACAGAGAAATGCAGTGTACAACCAGTTTATTTCCATCATGTCACAAATAATAATCATTGCTGATAGTTTTAAGTGCTTGTTGTTATCTTGCTTGAGCCTCCCAAGACCCCTTTTTACAGACTAGGTAAACTGAGGCACCAAGGAGTTACCATCTGTATAGTCAGGGAGACTGGACTGGGGGCAGGGAAGCAGAGCCTGGGACTCAGTGGTTGCTGCGCCTAGGCCTCAGTTGTACCGTCTGTTAAGGGAAGGTGGACTAAAGGTCTCCCCACACTAAATGGGAAAGGCACACCATTGAGTGCTATATGTCCCCCCATCTCAAGCCCACGGGCACCCCTGTGTTCACCCTCACCCAGTCCTGGCTGTGTGGCAGCCCCCATCCCAACAGTCTCGGTCCTGAAACATGATGGTTAAGAGCTAGGCACTGGGGCCAGGGATTTAGCTCAGTGGTTTTGCTGCCTGCTGCACAAGCGCAAGGACCCGAGTTCGATCCCCAGTACCAAAAAAAAAAAAAAAAAGAGCTGGGCATTGGAGTCTCCCAGAACCACATGGGGAAACTGGTTCTATTATTTCTTTGGGTCCATGTTCTTCCTCTTGGTATTGGATTTTCTCATCTGTAAATTTGGGATCATCATACTTTCCTCTTTTGAAATATGAATAACACAAGGCACTGTGGTCTGTAGGCCAATCGCAAGGCATTGTCCAACTCCAAGGAGCACCTTATTCATCAGAGGCTGGGGTTATACTGTGTATAACCTGATCAGCCATATCCAGCATCCCAGGTGGTGACAGGGGTATAGTACCTATTTGTTGATGCTTATTGTTGTATTTACTTTTCTTGAAGTCCAGGGTCCCAAGAGGAGGGGAGAAGCCTGATTGGCTGAGACCCAGGCCAGCTCTGTCTCTTGACTCATATGTCTCTGCTTGTAGATTGAGCCAGTACATTTCCTACAGGAAAAGGGGACAACTTTCCCCAGAGCCCCTGTCCCGACTGTCAGTGTCAGGAGCCTGCCAGCCCCGCCTTTGTCCTGCAAGGGCCTATGCGTCACGCCATGGCTGACAAAATCTCTCCTTTGCTGTGCAGGGTGTTGCTGGTGGAAGGCCGTGGTGACCAGACTCGTGGGCTGGAGCCTAGAGATGAGAGTGCCCAGGGAAGGTGAGTACACACAGAAGCCGTAGAGCCCAGCTGCCCCGAGATCCCTTGGCACAGCTGGCCCAGGGTCATTGCATCTCTTGGCCAGCGCTCCCTCTTCTGCCACTGCTGAAAAATCCTGTGCCAGGAGAGGCAGTGCCAGCAGCTCTGGATAAGCAGGTGCCTCCACTTGTCTCTTCAGAAGATGAGAGGGAGCACGCTCCGTCCCAAGGCTGTGGGGACTTGTCCAGCATCCCAGAGCAGGTTCTGGCACAACCAGAACCCAACCATCCTGTGCCCACCCCTGCCCACTCAGTGCCTCCTCCTAGAGCCCATGACCCTCACATCAGCTGCCCAGAGAACAGGTTCTTGTTGTCCCTTTTTATGGTGGGGACAATGGAAGCTTAGAGGCATGAGGCCTCTTGTCCAGGTCACCAGCTGACAATTGGCAGAGGTGGGATTTGAACCTCAGGCTATAGGACCCCAAGTCCAAGGCCTCCCCACCATCCTCATGCCAGGATCCCCATGGCTTTGCAAGCCATCACCCAGGTCTTTCTGCACTGGGCCGTGTGAAGCTGTTTTCCTCTGAACAGCATGCCCATGGCCTTGGCGTACACAGGCCTACGGTGCTGGATGTGCAGACTTGGAAAGCTGCTTCCTGTTGCAAAACAGGCAAGTGGATAACATTTTCCTGTTTCTATGTATCCTTCTTACGGGCTTTTTTTGGTGTTTAGTTTCTAATTCACCAACCCAGAGGCTCATGAATACACACGCACGCACGCACGCGCACACACACACACACACACAGAGGCATCCATACTATACCTACCCTTTCGGGAAGGCATTTTTAGATTCTATATAATTCTCCTTCTCTATCTCCTCACCCAAAGGTGATTGTTCACAATTGAGCCAAAGTGTGATTGACAGCTCCTGGGAGGTATTGGGAGTGATCTCAATAACTGGCAGAACTTTCCTCTTGGTCTTGGAATTTCCTTCAGCACTTGAAGAAGCTGAGGGTCCTTGGAGGGATTTCTGAGTGGCTTCACATCCCATCCAGCTGGTCTCCCCCTGAAAATAGCCTAGAATTACCTTTCTGTGTCACAGTCCTGGGATCGAGGGTATCAGTGACCCCTAGCACTGTCAGCAGCTCTGAATGGGACTGTTGTGCACAGGGGAGGGCTTCTGCCTCTTATCTGACAATCACTGTTGCTTTGCCAGCCACTCCTTCCTTGCCGAGGACAGTGGGTCCTCCAGTATTTTGCAGCTGTAGGAGCTGTATCTCAGGTGGGGGATATGACTCCCCAAGCCTACCGCCAGGAAGTACTCGAGCCCTCAGGATTTTGACCTGAGACAGTGCTCCTCGGCTTTGATGTTCATTTTCTACTTGCTGCAGCCTGAGCGGGCACAGGCAGCCCTGCCCTGGTGGGTGCATTGTCCCAGCTGCAGACTAGGTCCTGGGAAGGTTTCAGTTGAACCTCACATCCCAGGAAGGAGCAACCCCCCACAGTGGCCTCCTCCAGTGCCTCCTGTGTTCACTGAGCCACTTGCAGCCCCCCGATCATGCTGGGTTCTCTCTTCTTGGCCTTGGCATGGTCGGCTCCCTCTGCTGCTCTCGGCCTCCTGCAGAAGGCCTGGGAACCTGTCACCTTCCTGGGCAGGTCCACAGTGTGAGCAGACTCAGGAGCCTGAGGGTGGGCCCCCTCAGCTCCACTACCCAACCCTGACACTTATTTGGTGTTAGAATAAATGAATGAGCAGTGATCAAGGTAGAAATTACTAATATTCTTGCCAATGTTGCCTATATGCTGGGCACCTTCTTCAGTATTTTCTTTCTTTTTTCTAATGTTTTTTTATTTTATCAAAAAATAAAAATTTCATAACAGAATAATGAGACAACACTGGTCCATACATTATATATTATTATCTTCAAAGTAGTTAGTCAAAATACAAGACATAGACAAAAAAAGATTCTTTCTTATAAAGAAGAAGCAGATAATAGCACAAAATTTTTTATTTTTTTGAGACAAGGTCTCACTATGTAGTTCAGGCCGACCTTGAACTCAACACATAGCCCAGACTGGTGTCAAACTCAAAGTAATCCTCCTGCCTCAGCCTCCTGAGTGCTGGGATTACAGGTGTGCACCACCATACCTGGCAAAACTTTCTTTTCAATTGAGAAAATCTAGTAGTATAAATGAAACATTAGCATATATATTAAAATACACTTGAGGCATTTGTAGGTAAATGGATGCAACTTGAGAACATAATATTAAGTGAACTAAGACACACAAGATTAAATATTGCATGGTTTCTCTTATATGAGAAACTCAAAATCAATATGTACAAATAAAGAACAAAATAGAAGGGAGATAAATAAGAAGTAGGATAAGGTTCAGATGATTCCCCAAATTGCCTATTACGTTGTTTCAGTGTTTTCTGTGGAGAGGGTTGTTGATGTTCACAACAGCCTTTTGAAGTTGACCCTCCCTGTTACAGATGAGGTACAGAGAAGTTAATTCCCTCCCTGTTACAGATGAGGTACAGAGAAGTTAATTCTTGCCCGCATCTGGGAAGTAGCAGAGCTGGAATTGGAATCCAGGCCTACCTGGTCTTTGATTCTGAAAGACGGAGGGAAGGGCAGATGGGGAAACTAAGGCTCAGAGACCCTGCAGGGGTGAGGCAGAGAAGGCCTGGAGTGGTTTGATGTTGGCGAGTATCTGTCCAGCGCCCAAGTCTGCACCTGCTTCATTGGGCTGAGGTTGCAAAGTCAGGGTCCTTGGGGGGAACCGGGGAGGGGGGCAGGCCTGCCACTTGGAAGGTCAGGGAAGGGAGTGATGGGCTGGATATGCCCTTGCTTTTGTAAGCAAGCCCCTGTCTGAATTGCCATGGCAGTCTGGTCTTCATGAGCAGCCCTTGGGAGGGGTAAAGAGCGCAGACTTGGGGTCCCCGGGCACATCCTATGTGATCCCCTCCCTGCATTTCCCATTGCTGCACAGCTCTGGATTCCTAGAGGCCTGACCCCAGCCTGACCTCCCTCCATACCCTGCAGGCCCCCTGGGGCTGCCCTAGAATCAGTCCAGCTCTTACTCTGTCCTGAAGACCTGCTGGCCTCCACCCCCCAGTGGAGAAGCCCTCCGCCCCAGTGGATGCACTGCTATGATCTCACATTCATGTTGATAGTAAATGTTACAGTCATTTACTATCAAAATGACACACATTTCCACTGATGAGACAGCTCCAGCATGGACAAGTGAAGGAAACAGCCAGGGGCCTCCAGCCAAGAGAAGTACGAGAGGGTTTGAGCCTCAGCTTTTTACCCAGAGTCCCATGTGGGTGTAATAGCCTTCAGGGTGACAGCTGTTCCATGAATTAGGTAGGCAGAGTGCCCAGCACGGTGTACACAGCAGTGCCCATGAAACATGCTGTGCCTTTGACTTAGCAGCTCACTGTGGTCTCTACCAGCTTGTCCTAAAAGGGCTCTCTGGCCACAGGCCTCCCTGACCACAAGTGTCCTCCTCTCTCCCCAGATGCAAGCCTGGCAGGCTGCAGGCTAACCTGTCGCTGAAGTGGGCCCCCAGGCTGGACCTGCCCTGGCCCGGCATGCGCCTCTCCGTGCGCAGGGCGCTGCTGGCAGCCAGCTGTGCACTGGCCCTGGTGCTGGCCGTGCAGTTCGGACAAGAGGTGCTGGATTGTCGTGCGGTGCTGGCGGGGCCACAGAGCCCCCGGTGGGCCATGAAGCCAGAGAAGGAGGAGCTGGTGATGCTGGGCACGAATCACGTGGAGTACCGCTATGGCAAGGCCATGCCACTCATCTTCGTGGGTGGCGTTCCTCGCAGTGGCACCACACTGATGCGTGCCATGCTGGATGCACACCCTGAGGTGCGCTGTGGCGAGGAGACCCGAATCATCCCTCGAGTGCTGGCCATGCGCCAGGCCTGGTCCAAGTCTGGCAAAGAGAAGCTACGGTTGGATGAGGCAGGTGTGACAGACGAGGTAATGGACTCTGCCATGCAGGCCTTCATCCTGGAAGTGATTGCCAAGCATGGTGAGCCGGCACGTGTACTGTGCAACAAGGACCCCTTCACACTCAAGTCCTCCGTCTACCTGTCACGCCTGTTCCCCAACTCCAAGTTCCTGCTGATGGTGCGAGACGGCCGGGCCTCTGTGCACTCCATGATCACACGCAAGGTCACCATCGCCGGCTTCGATCTCAACAGCTATCGTGACTGCCTCACCAAGTGGAACAAGGCCATCGAGGTGATGTACGCACAGTGCGTGGAGGTGGGCAAGGACAAGTGCCTACCTGTGTACTATGAGCAGCTGGTGCTGCATCCCCGGCGCTCTCTGCAGGTCATCCTGGACTTCCTGGGCATCGCCTGGAGCGATGCTGTCCTGCACCACGAAGACCTCATTGGCAAGCCTGGTGGCGTCTCTCTGTCCAAGTGAGTGACAACTGGCTCTGCCGGGGGAGCAGTATGGCGGCCTTGGGAAGGTCTCTGCCCCTCTCTGAACCCCAGCCTGGTACCAGGTCCCCCTGCCCTAGCTCCACGGCACTGAGTAAGCTGCTCTTCCTCTCTGATCCCCAGAGTCAGTATCCAGGAACAATGAGAGCAGTCCCTCTTCTCAGAATCAGTGAGGCCTGACCGTGCTTTGGAGTAAAGCCATAGAGGGTGAAGGTTAAGGAGAGAGCACAAACCCTAGGACCAAGCTCTCTGGGCTCAAAGCCCCACTCTGTCAACTCCCAGCTATGTGACTTTAGGCAAGTTACCTGAGCTGCCTGTGCTTTCATTGCTCACCTGTGACAGGGACCCTACCCTGTCTACCTCATAGACACTTGTGAGCATCAAACAGATCAATGCATGATGCCATTACTGCCATCATCAGTGCTGTGAGTGCTGTGAGTGTTCTTATTTGAGTGTTGATGCTGCATTTATTGGACTACATGTCAACCTCACCATTGTAACCATTTATTAAGTGCCTGCTACACAGCAAGCCCTGGGTTATGCCCCCAACAAAACTATTGCCTTGAATCCCCATAGCACCTTATGTTTAGTTTCGTTCCCCATGTCCTTTTAGTTTTTGTTTTATTTGTGGTACTGGAGAGATTGGACTCAGGGAGTGCTGAGCTACATACCCACCCTTTTTAATTTTATTTTGAGATAGGATCTCACTAAGTTGCCCAGGCTGGACTGCAGCTTGTACTCCTCCTGCCTCAGTCTCCCTAGTAGCTGAGATGATAGACATGTACCACCATACCTGGCTCTGATCCCATTTTAGAGATGAAGAAACTGAATCCCAGAGAGAAATTACAGGTCCAGGGCCACACAGCTAACAAACGGTGGTGCTGAGATTTGCACCCAGAACCACTGGACTCCAGAGTATGTGCTCTTAAGCTCCAATGTCCAACCAAAGCGTCCAGTGATTGGGGATGTTAAAAGCAAGATGGTAATGTGTGACTTGGCATGGTACACAGCTGTCCCCTGCCCCTCCTTCTGACTTCTGCCCTCTGTCCTTGCAGAGGCCATGTCCCTCTGTCTTCTGAGTCCTGGAATAACACAGGAACAGACTGTGCAGGCCCCATGTTCCCATCCTGAGCAGACTTAGGTGTCCATGAGTTCCCAGCAGAAAGGTGGACCTCCCCGGGACAGGGTATGGCCCTTTCCCCATGATGGGTGGTCCCTGCCAGGCTCCAACCTTGAGCAGAGCTGGAACTTGCAGCCGCTGTGCCAGGGCAGTGGAGTGGTCACAGGTGCTCCAGCCAGTCTGCCACAGCATGGTCACGACAGAAAGTCAGGTTACCGAATGGTTACATCTTCATTGCAGAGAGTTGGGAAGCAACGCAGGACTGAAAAACCTCTGTCCCACCACTCATGTTTTCTTACAGTGCTCACTGGTCCTGATCTGGGCAGAGTGCAGTCCTCTTGAACACGTTCACTGTGGCTGTTTTTCACTTTGTGTACGGGACCACTTGCCCAGGACACCCAGAACTCTGCATTCTACTAAACATCCCCTGTCACTGGACACTTTGGTTATTTCTAGTTTTTTGGTGTGTGTAGAATATTGCTGCCTTTGGTATTCTAGGTGCATCCTTGTTGATCCTGTACAGTAAAGTCCTACAGAGTTAAAGGTGGCAAAAGCCATGCTCATATTTGAGATTTTTGACACATTGGATAGATTTGACATTTAAATTTGGGGTCCACAGACACCAGATGAATTACCTTCCCACCAGTTCATACCCTTGCACCTTTACTATTTGTCACTCCTAGTCCTGTCTTCCTTTTGCTACATCTTTCTGCTTCTGATCTTCCCTAAATGATCTCTTAGGTGGGATAGAAGCGTCCAGAAGTAGGCCTGATTCTGTGGGTTCCCCACCCCTCACCCTATGAGGCCCTTTGGTTATAACTGATAAGATCCTCGAGGTTCTGATGGCTGGGCAGGCCTGCTGCCGGGAGTCATAAGGCACATAGAGGAGGATGTTGTGCTGTTTTCACAGCATAAGATTGGAACGAGCCTCACACCCATCCCCAGGGGAGTGGGAAATACACTATGGCACCTTTATACCATGGTGGAGTACAACACCACTGAAAAAGGGTGAACTATGGAGTGTAAAAAGTTGTAGACCAAGACATATAGCACATAATTTCTATTTTAAAAGCAGCAAACGTAGCCAGGCATGGTGGCACATGCCTATAATCCTATCACTCTGGGAGACTGAAGCAGGAGGATCCAAATTCAAGCCCAGCTTAGTGACTTAGTGAACCTGTCTCAAAATTTTAAAAAATAAGCAAATGAAAAAGGGCTGGGATCTAGCTCAGTTGAAGGCCCTGAGTTCAACTCTCAGTACCACAAAATCAATAAAAATGAAAGCAGCAAACAAAACCATAGATTTTTTTTTCCTCGTGTGTGAGTCAGTGTATCCCTTCTTGAGATTCATGTACTCTTCTCAGGATTTTCTTTGTATTATTTATTTTCCAGAACAGCCCAGTGAGGTGAGTACATTGTCCCCATTTATGTGTGAGGAAATCAAGGCTCAGAGAGGTAAGGTGACTCTGCCAAGGCCACACAGCCTGTACTCGCATAGCTGGCTTTAGAGCCTGGGAGTCTGGCTCCTTAGTCGGCCTTGAACCACTCTTCTGTTGGAAACACTGAAAGGGCATCCACCGACCATGAAGACCAAGCACCTGTAGGAACCTGGTGATGGCAGGGACTTCCAGCCTCACCATTACTTTATGGATTTGAGGTGTGTCGGGGGTACTGAGGTTTGAACTCAGGGCCTTTGAACAGAGCTACATCCCTAGCCCCTTTTTAAAAATTATTATTATTTTTAATTTTGAAACAGGGTCTTGCTACGTTGCTCAGGCTGGGCTCTAACTTGCGATCCTCCTGCCTCAGCCTCCCAGAATGCTGGCATTATAGGCATGTGCCACCATACCTGGTTGTATTTCATCATTTTTTCAAAGACAAAATATTCATGGTAGTCAGAGACATAGAAAGTTGTTTGGAAAGGGTCAGAGCAGTCAAGGAAGCAGGATTTCTGCACCAGCTGCTAGCACTTTTCTTCTGCTCTCTCCACATGCTCTTTCCCCAATGTACAGAGGAGGTAGTGAGGCAAGCACCTTGCTCTTTCCCAGTCTATGTGGTGGATCTGGTCAGGGACGGGGTCTCCCTGCCTTTTCTGCCCCTGCCCTGACCAGACCGTTCTTCTCTCCCCAGGATCGAGAGGTCCACAGACCAGGTCATCAAGCCTGTGAACCTGGAAGCACTCTCCAAGTGGACTGGCCACATCCCCGGGGATGTGGTGAGGGACATGGCCCAGATCGCCCCCATGCTGGCTCGCCTAGGCTATGACCCGTATGCAAACCCACCCAATTATGGCAACCCCGACCCCTTTGTCATCAACAACACACGCCGGGTGAGTGCGTGCACAGAGCCATGTTCACGGGCTTTGCTAGGACCGAGAGTTCCGAGTCCCTGAGAAAACCTCTAGTCTCTGGTCTCCTGAGCATCTCGTGGACATGGTGAATTGTGTGCCTGCTGGTGTTCCCATTTTGGCTTGGGTTGCTAGGAAGCTCAAAGCAACGGATAGCCTGTATTTACACTCAGTAACAGGGCACAGCAGACCCGTTTGTGCATTTGTTTAATCTTATTTCTCTTTATTTACCTTTTCTCCTGTTTTTCTGGCTCTTTGTTGATTTGTTTCAAGCCTGTTGATAGTGAGCATAAACAAACTGTGGGTCCCTTTGTTTGTTTGTTTTTTGCTCCATAAGATTTAATGTTGATTTCACAAACAAGTGTGAGTTTAGAGCTTTTGAGATGGAAGTGTCATTGTGCTACCCGGGGCTGGACTTGAATACTTGGGCTCAAGTAGTCCTCCTGCCTCAGCCTCCAGAGTAGCTAGAATTATAGGATATGCCTATAGTCGCAGCTATTCTGCACTGTAGCAGCTTCAATTACATTTTAAGTTTTCCTTAGTTAAGGTAGCCAAGGGAAGTATCTTTTTAACTTTTTTTGTTTGTTTTTTGAGACAGAGTCTCACTATGTAGCCCATGCTGGCCATGAGGCCTCCTGCCTCAGTCTCCCAAGCGCTGGGACTGCAGGGGAAATGACTTAGACAAGATGTTTTGAACTGTTAATGGTGATCAGTTCACTCAGTAAAGGAACAAATGACAAGGTCCCAGCCTTATTTACATATTTCTGTCCCAGCTTGTGGTTTACTTTGGATGCTGTGTTCTGACTCCCTCAGAGGCCCTAAGTTAGTTAAAATACACACACTTTCAGCTTGCTGACATTGCAGTCAGTGATGGGCCACATATGGCATGGTGTCCCCATCAGGTCATAATGACTGGTGAAGCTGTCATTGCCCATTACATGTGTATGTGGCAGTGCTGGTGTGACTGTCTGTGCTGCCAGTTGCACCCAAGCAGAGCAGGCACAATTAGTGCACAGGTGTGCAGTGGGCTGTCCCATCTCTGGTGTTCGGACACGCTCTGGGATGTCCGAATGATGATGCAGTCACCGGAGGTTGCATTTTCCAGGAGGTGTCCCCATCCGTCATTAAGCAACGCATGACTGCACTTGAGCCTGGAAGCTAACCTGAGGAAGAGCCCTTCTTGCTTGTGAGTCATTAAGGCCCAGAGTCTTGATTTGAGGCTCAGCTCAGCATTTCTGAACATGTGCTGATGTTAGAAAGTAAAGAGTTCTTGTATTGAATCACAGAAGGAGAAAGTCATCCCTCCCTCAATTCTCCTTTAAATTCTTCCACTTGGCTCAAGGAGAGAGTCTCCATTTGTCAATAACAAGTCCCATTTAAGATTTTCTTTTCTAGCACCACAAAAAAGAAAAACAAATGAGGCACCACTTGCCCAAATAATAATAGACTAGATGAAAAGAAGAGTCTGGTGACAATCTTGAAGTCCAGTCCCCCCGTGTTTTACAGCAGTGGTGGCTGGGGCAGGCTGACGCCAGCAGCAGCTCCTCAGGGGTCCCTTTAAAAGGTGAGGGCCCCTGGGGTGTCCCAGAATGAGGGTCAGAAGCTCCTAGAGTAAGGCCAGACTTTGTGTATTTTATGAAATGTAAATAATTCCAATGAGCACTGCTGGTTAAGATCAACTCTTTGAAACTTTTTCTGTTTGTTTAAAATACAAGATGTCCCTGGTTTTTTTTCCAAAGATGTTTCTTCCCTGTGGGTTTGATAACCTGGGCAGGTGCCAGACACCCTGCTTGATACAATGGCTGGTTAAAAATGCAGTACATGTTTAAATAAAAATTTATTACAGTAAAGGACACATTGCCATTAATCTCCCTCAGAATACTCCCACTCCCTTTGAACACACTTAGCGCTTTGTTCTTGCCACTTTCTGAGGCAGCTCTGGAAGTCCTCTTTCCTGAGTGTCTTTATGAGGTGTGATCAAAACATGATGAGTGCTGCTGCCAAGTGCCATCCAGTGGAAAGCCAGCTCGTAAAAACATTACAGTGTGTGCTTGTTCACCTTATTTGCTGGATATGGCACCATATGACCTCTGGCTCTTCCCCTAATCCAGAAGACCATGAAAAGTAAGTGTTTTTAATCAGTTCAACCACAACAGAACAACTGAAGATACACACAAAAAAGAACTTCAGAACTGCTTCAAAATGGTTGGATAAGTGTGTTGGAAGTGAGGGGGAATATTTTGAGGGGAGATTAATAATAATATGTCTTTTACTATAATAATTTTTAAAATGTAAACATTCACTGTATTTTGAGATCACTCCTCATATTTATAGTTGTTTTACTGTTATTCAAAGTAACCTTAGGAAAAGTGCATATTTGGATACATACAGCAGACACTGTGATCCTGAAACGGATCCTGGGCTGCAGCAAACACAGGGATGGAAGCTGTCATGTTGCTGAGCTTGTCTATACCACACTAGCCATCACTGTAGTCACCAGATGTCTACAGCTGTTGACCCTATCATATGAGACTAGTCCCGTTGGAGAGGTGCTGTAGATATAAAATACACGCTAGGTTTTGAACTCTTAGGACAGAAAAAAGGATATGATGTTTTCTCATCGGTCACTTTTATGTAGGGTACAAGTTGAAATGGTCATCTTTTCTGTATATCAGATTAAACAAAAGACATTATCAGCATTAATTTTACCTGTTTAAGATTACATAGTTGGTTCACATTATATTTCTTTTGGACAGCACCAGACAGTAGGATACCTTCCATGCCAAGACATCATGGGAAAGCCCGGAGCATTTTGATTCTAACCTCAGAGCCTTTGCCCACACTGTCTTCTCTGCCTGGGATGCTTTTCCTTCTGAGCTTAGCCTGGTTGGCTTCCGGTATCACTGAAGTCTCAGTTCTAAGCTTACCTGTTCCAAGAAGCTCTTCCTGACCACCACCCAAAAGAGACCCTTGGTCATGCCTAACCACGGTCTTTGTTTTGTTTCTTCATGGCACTTCCCATGGCTTCATGTGCCCTTGTTTATTTGTTTACCGTTACTTGTAGGTCATCTGGCATACACACCCTCTGAAATGGAAGCTCAAGAATAAGAATTTCAATTGTCTGGTTATTGTTAGTACCCCTAATGCTTGGAATAAAAGGAGCTCATTAAATGTTGGGTGGATAAAAGGGTGGGGGTGGTGGATGGATGGATGGATGGATGGATGGAGAGAAGGATATATTGCTGAGTGAGTGGTTACATGAATGAATGAGTGGATGGGTGGATGATGGAGAAGAATTAAGGGTTGAGGGGTGAATGGATAGATGGATGAATAAATGTGAATGGGGGAATAAAAGTGGGTGGATAGATGTGTCAAGGTGGACTAAAATTTATTTTTCAGTCATTTCCACCAGAGTGAGATTTCTTTTCTGTTTCCTAGGTCTTGAAAGGGGACTATAAAACACCAGCCAATCTGAAAGGATATTTTCAGGTAAGAAACCCTGAGGAGAATTCTGCATTCTGTTCTTCCTGGCTGTGTCACTAGTTTGATGTATGCCCTTGCGTTCATTTCTCCATTCTGACAATTTCTTCATCAAAAACTTGGGTGGGGTTGGGGGTGGGGCTCGGGCCAGAGGGTCTCTACGCAGCTGTCTAGCTAGCTAGGGCCCAGTCTCCGCAGCCTTCTGTCCTAGCCATCCTTCACCTCGTCCCTGGGCTGGAGTGCAGTTGCAGGGACTTTGTGTGGACACTCTGTGACGCTTTCTATCTCTAGCCTCAAATTCAGTCTTATTTAAGACAGTTGTTGTCAAGTACAAACAAATGCAATAATTCCATCCTTGTCTCTAAAGAAACAGAAACATGAGGGTAATGTGTTGTACACGAACGTTGGATATAGATGTGAGTATGCTTCTGCATTCCCAAATGCATCTATATGTCCGGGCCCCGCAGATCCCAGGATGTCCACGTCATCATGTCACTGTCACGTCACCATCAGTAGGGCCAGGCCTTCTTGACACACAGCACACCCTGCTCCTTTTCCCACATTATAACTCCTGTGGGTGCTAAATGGCCCCCAATTATTTACTTATTTTCTATTTGATAATCATTAAATTTAGTTTCTCCAGCTATAGTTTGGCATTAGAATATACACCTTAATGACACAACACAGTTGAGAAGCTCTTTACAAGCTAAAATGTGATACTTTGTCTCTACATATTTCAGTTGACTTGTATTTGTCTAAAAATATGCATGAAACATGTTTGACACTCCAAACTTTCTGTAATATCAGTACCACAAAATAATGTATACAGATGTGAAAACATCTAGTTAGTATATAATCCTTTTCTCACTGTCACCCGCTTTATTACATGGAATGCACATACTGACTCAGAAATCCTAGGAAATCCTGGCTTTTGAGCCACAAGGTACCTCTGAAATTTTAACAAATTACAAGTACAAATCACAGTATAGGTTTGGAATTTTGGTTGAAAATGTTAGATGCCTAAATATTTTGGATAAAAGAAATGCAAAACAAAGTTTTCAGTCATCCATAAAACAAAGGGATCCTATTAGTCACTAATAGTATCTTTCTGCAGAATCAATAGGTTTATAATTTATTGGTAAAAATGCCCCCTTTTAAATGGAGGAGTGGTGCTAAAATTAGTAGTTTCAGTTTGTGCATCTGTTTTATTTGGCAAAATAAAGAGTGGCACACTCTCTGTCAGTCCCCACGTTATTTAGCAAGTTAATGAGGTCTAAGAGCCCAGGGTGTGAGGTAGAGGCACAGCTTTTAAGCACTTCCCAGTTGCTTTGAGATTGGTCCATGATCCCTTTGTGAGAATCAGAGATCCATTTTTGCTATCATGATATCCATCTTTGCTACTTTAGTGAGCCCTAAAATATTTACTGTAGCCTAAAAGATATAACAAGAGCAAAAGATGGAGTTGGGGATGAGGGTGTTATTTATAATCTGAAATTGTTTTCATTTTTGCATGTTGCCTCTTTTGTCTTATCTGCATATGCTTTTGTGTGTGTGTGTGTGTGGTACGGGGGATTGGACTAGGGCCTTATACATGCTAGCCAAGTGTTCTACCGCTGAGCCATACCCCCAGCCCTTTTTAAAATTTTTATTTTGAGGTAGATTCTCATAAATTGCCAGGCTGGCTTTGAACTTACAATCCTCCTGTCTCAGCCTCTGAAGAAGCTGGGATTACAGGCATAACACCCAAACTACATATGCATTTTTGCATTCATTGCAGCCCCACTTTGTGAGCTGATGTGTCTTACTGTCTTAATATCTTCCCATCTATTGGGTTTTACTATTTCTGTTTTATTTTTTTATTTTATCTTTTTTGGTGCCGGGGATCGAACTCGGGACTTCCCGCTTGCAAGGAAGGTGGCGGAACCACTGAGCTAAATCCCAGCCCAGCTATTTCTGTTTTAGATGGTCACATAATATTCTCTACCATGCACCCGACACAATTGGTTAAGTGCTTCCTTAGAATCATTTCCAGTTTTTGCATCCTACTGAATGATGCGCACCATTGTGATTTTGCCTCTGCTGTGAGCTAACGGGGCTCTGTTAAATTGTTCCCTTAGAAGGCATTTCTATGGAGTGGAGTCAGCAAGGGGAAGGGTGTAACTATTTTGCAGACTCAAAACAACAAGGCTAAAATCTTACAAGAGGATTGGACCAGCTTACATTCCACTCCAGCACTGGCACATATGAGACATCGAACTGACCTAGGACTGGCTTTACTGCTACAAGGAGTAATATGAAAGGATAGTCGTGTCCTCCCATCACACACATGCTCCCCTCAGGACAACTGCCCTGGAAATGGTCTCACAGCCCTGCTCTCCACCCTCCCCTCCTCCACTGTCCTCCCTGTGCACATGACAGCATTCAGGACTTGACAACTGCAAACTGTCTTAGGGAAGCCTTCAATTAATGCTGGCACATGCATTCCACAGGACATGTAGCCATTCAAAGGGGTAATCGTGAAATCTAAAAGTCAGAAAAATGCTAACCAAGCAAAACAGCAGCTTACACATTAGAAATGCAACAAATGCAAAAAGCCACCTCCCCCTCCCAAGTCATTGCTGTCCCCTTTACTGGGAGGCTTTTCCACCCAGATCTTCACATGGCTTACTGTCTTAGTCACTTCCTGTTGTTAGACACAATACCCAGGCCCACAGCTTAAAGAGAGAGAGGTTTATTTTGGTTCACAGTTTAGTCTATAGTCAGCTAGCTCCAAGGTGTAAACGGCATGGCAGAAGGCCATGAGCTGAGGACAGCTGCTCACCCATAGCAGCCAGGGAGGGAGATACATACTTCTAGGTCACACCCTCAGGGACCTCCCTTTTCTGACCAGAACCTTCCCCCTTACAGCACATTCAGCTATGAATTCATCAGTGCAACAGCCCCATGATCCAGTCACCTTCCAAAAGCCCAACCTCTGAACATAAGAGACTTTCGGGGGACATTCTACATCTAAGCCATAACACTGACCTGGTTGCTTCTCCCAGATCTTGGCCCGTGGGGTATTACAACGTCAACAAACAGTTCTTTAATGAAGCAGACACCAACCTGGGGTCCCACAATTCAATTTAGTCCTGACCACTAGTTACTTCAGTGTCCAGTCCTATAGATTAAAGGTTCAGGCCCTTATGACTCAAATGCCAGGTCCAGGGGATGCCCACATAACCCCCTCTGGTCTGATAATTTTCAAGAACAACTTGTCTATCATAAAGGATACAACTCAGGGACAGTCAGGTGGAAGAGGTGCTCAGAGCAAGGCGGGGGAACCACTGAGCTTCTATACCCTTTCTGACCCCACCCCCCAACATCTCATTGTGTTCACCAATGAGGAAACCCTCCAGACTGTAACTTCAGGGTTGTCATGGTGATTCCCTTACCCATGCATGAGTAATGAAATCACTTGCCACTAGTGATGAACTCAGTCTCCAGCCCCTCTACCTTCCCAAGAACTTGGGATGTAGCTGAAAGTTCCAGCTCCCTAATCCTGCCTTGATCGTCTGATGACCACTTTCATTCTGAAGCTGTCTCTAGTCATCTCCTTAGCATACAAAGATACTCGTATCACACAGATCCCAAAGATTTTAGGAGTTATAGGATCCAGGACAAAGACCAAATATTTAGTTCACTACACTTTACGTGTCATTTTGTAGACTCCTGTCCTGATCACGGAGACCCCGTTGTGTCACCCAGATTTGACATTACCTTGCATGTGTGTAAGTCTCATAGACTCTGTCCCCAGCTAGAAGGTAAGCTCCAGGAGAATAGGGCAGGTACGTTGTGCTCAACATAAACACCTGGTGCCCAGCCTGCGAGCAGTCAGCTTTTGATGAGTGGGGCATGAATGCAATGCAGAGGGCTGCACCCTGCATCCACCACCTGGCCATAACCCCTTCCTCCGCCTCTTGTCTTTCCCCAGGTGAACCAGAACAGCACCTCCCACGTAGGAAGCTCGTGATTTCCAGGTAGGCCTGCTCACCTCACTGGAGGCTCTTGGTGTTTCTGATCCTGCACACCACCTTTCCGAATGCCTGTCCTTCAGAAGCCTGCCTGGGGAGAAGTGTCCACCAAGGTGGGCTGACCCAGCCCCATCAGAGGTTTCCATGGTGACAGCTGAGGGATCTATTTATAGAATGGAGGCTTAGTCTCCTAGCTCTGGATCCAGGATGGGGGCAGGGATTGATGCTGAGCCAATAAGAAGGTTTGTCCAGACAGGGGGAGGGGGCCAGAAGGGCCACTGGAGGGGATTCTGTACCAGTACCGCACAGAATGCTGCCTGCCAATCCGGCTTCTATAATGAGCATCAGGTCTGGCCCAAAGCAATTAATGTTCCAATAATAGCTGTAGGCAGACCTGTTCTAAGAATAATACCTAAGGCACCAGGCCAGGTACTCCCCTGTGTCCCTCACTTAATTCTCAGTGTCCCTGGGAGCCAGGGGACACAGTCCTGCCATTTTACAGAGGAGCAAACCAAAGTACACAGAAGGCCTTTGACTTCTCCAAGACTAGACAGGCACCAAATGGCAGAATTGCTCTAGAAGTCATCTCCCCCAGAGTTTGCTTTTAAGTGCATGTTTATCCTTCTGTTTTAAAAGAGGTAAGAAAAGGGATTTTGAACTTGGGAATTTTAAGATAGAAGAGCTGGAGGTTTAATGCCTCTCAGGCTCTGTTTTCCTCAGTGCCTCCCTCCAAAGTTGCTCACGGGACACAGGGAGCTGGCCCAGGTGGGACCACCCAGAAACTGTAAAGTGCTGGCCGCTTGCTGTGGACTTGGGCACTGGAGTTAAGGGTCCAGTGAGTGAGCTCATATCCCCAACCTCTTGAATCAGGCTTAGGGAAACTGAGGGAACCCCTCAGAGAGTCACGGGTCAGGAACGATTTGTACTTTCCTTTTTTTTTTTTTCTTCAGTGCTAAGGATGAAATCCAGGGCCTTGTGTGCATGGTATGCCAGTGCTCTACCACTGAGCTACCCCTCAGTCCTGCCTATAATTTTTAAATGAAGCAGAGCTTCTAGCCTGGCCTGATTTTAGTATCCTCATCTTACTTTTACTGTCATTCTCAGGGTTCCCATGGTGAGTTCCTGAAGATCCTGAGATCCTGAAGTTCTGTTTAATCCCAAAATGACCCCTCTTTGAAAACAAGTGTTCTCCGTGTTTCTCCCTAACCTTATTCCTCTCACTCACTTTCTACAAATGCATTACTAGACTCTTGGGCCTTCTCATTTGTAAACCCAGGTTTATCCTTGATTTACTGTTTTAGTAAGATGCCATCTACATGGTGAATGAGCAAACCCCTGACACAGAGTGGGCCTTGAATAAATGCTAATCATTCTCTTTCCTCCAAAAATTTATTGGTGTTGATCCCATAACCACTGCCATTTGCTCCATATAAATAACTAAAGTGGCTCTTTGAAGGTCAGATGGATGCAGGTTGAGATGTGGGTAAGAACCCCAGGAATATTTTTAAATTTGTCCATCTGGGATGCAGATATAAAACCTTGCATGCTTATGGGGATGGATGAAGACGATCTGTTCCACAAGCACACATAAATATGAAAGCTCTATTTCAGAACTGTTAATCCATGCCTAATGCAGTATCCCCTCTTTCAGATCTCTGCAAATGGCTTTCTTGCCAAGAAGAGAAGAAGCCACATTCCAGTGGAAATCAGGCCTCTAATCCAAGCATATTGCTTGCTATTAATTGCCAAAACAGGACTGCTAATGAGGAATGTATTTGCATATGTGTGCAAAAGCTGAATCATTGAAAATGTTCCTTGAAACTCTCTTTGGACATTCCCAGCTAGAGAGCGAAGAGTGTGAAAAGTAGTCTGGTTTTTGAAACTTAGGTATTTCATATTTTTCCCCTCAAGAACTTTTTTAAAGAAATGGATTTGCCATCCTCCTTAATTTTCAGGACTGCCTTGGTGGCTTTGTTTGCTGAGACAAGGCCCACAACCTGTGCCTCGCCTGTTAACCCTTACTTTGAATTCAAAGAATCTATTTAAGAATCTAATATATGAGACTTTCTTTGATTTCTCCTCATTCTACTCAGCTTAACAGAGATAAAGAAATTATTTGAATAAACTGAACAGAGGCTCATTTGTCTGTACCTTTCTTTCATGAGTTGGGTTGTTTTTGTTTTATTTTGGAATTTTTCATGTGGATTGGTGACAAGTAGAAGCTAGAGAACAGCTCTCTGTAGAACAGCTGAACTCTCATGTCTGGGTCCCCATGGCCACGCTCAGGTTTGGTGATTTGCTAGGACCCAGAACGCAAGAGTGTCACCGGCTAGTGTGGGTCCTTGCTTCAGTGATAACAGAAATTAGAACTGAAGCAGCAGCACACACAGGCAAAGCTTTAATTGCAAAGTAAGAAAAAATGGGAAGGGACTTCAGCTTGAGGTGCTGAAGGTGGCACAGCTCTGATGAGGTCAGGCTGGTCCATTAACAAAAGAGAGAGACCAGTTTTATGGGGCACTGAGGTGGCCTAGAGTCTGATTGATCATTATCTCAATTCCAGTTTTGCAGTAACCTTAACAGCTTCAAGGGCCATCTGGTTCCCAAGAGGCCATTGCTCCTGCTTTGGAAGAGGGGAGTCTTAGTGTTTCAGAGGCTCTGCGGGAATTCCAGGTGCCTGCAGTTTTAGGGAAGATGACTAGAGGCTTCTAGGTACCTATTCCAAGGGGTAAAACCTCTAGTTGGAAGTTTATAAGCTTTTTATCTTGGTGTCCTCAGTCTTGAAGTAGGATGAGATAGGGTATGTAAATTTAGGACTAATAATCCTTATATTATCTGTTTTTAGGCAGATGTTCCTTAGGTAACATGGCTGAGCAGGGATCTTACCCAAAGCTTTAAGAATAAAAATGAAGGCAGTGATGTCAGGCTCTATCCAGTTTTAATTACCCTTTAAACACCTGCAGAGCCAAGTGAAGAGTTACAGATTTTTTTTTTCAAAAGCAGCTCTGTTGCTGGGACAAAATACTTGAAACCTATAAAGGAGGAGAGGTTTCTTTTGACTCTCGGTTTTTAGAGAATTCAATCCAGTCAGCTGGCTGCAAGGCAGGAAGGGGATGATGGAAGAGGAAAGCTGTCAGAGGAAAGCTGCTCAAGTCCTGGCCGGGAAGCAGAAAGAGAAGGGAGGAGCCAGGGAGGGAGATAGGCCCTTCCAGGGCACACACCCCCACCCCCAGTGACCACCCCTTCCAAACAGACACATTCAGCTATGAAGCCACCAACTGATCCACTGATGAGTCCCCCCACGATCCAGTCACCTTCCAAAAGCCCAGTGTCTGAACACATGAGCCTTTGGGAGACTTGCTAGATCTAAACCATAACAAGCTCTTAATTCCCAGACAGCCTCTGAGGTTAACACAAATCCTGCTTTTAGTAACAGATTAAGGACCTGGGAGTTTGTTTGTTTTCTGTCCCTCTTTAATGATCCCAAGAATTTTATTTTTTTCATCTAGTTTATTCAGGGCCCTAGATGGCCAGGGCATCCTTGCTTTCATTATGTACCTGTGTTTTTTTTTGCTTTGTTTTGTGGTACTGGGGACTGAACCCAACTCAGCTACATCCTCAGCCCTTTTTTACTTTTTTGAGACAGGGTCTCAGTTACTGAGTTGCCCAGCCTAGGCTTGAATTTGTAGTACTCTTGCCTCAGCCTCCCAGAGTGCTGGGATTATGCTTGCACCACCATGCCCAGCTGAGGCGCTTGCTTTTTGAGCTCAATTACAGTGTTTGAAAGAGTGAGGGTGTGGCCAGGGAAGAACACATTGTGTTATTCATTAGAAACAGGTCCCGAGTTAAGGCTCAGGAATGCACCTGACTTTTGTCTTCCTGGTTGCCTCTGAACCATCTCAAGAGGAGCTATTAGGTTTATGGTTATGGCATATACTGTGAAGGGATACAAATCAAAATTGGCAAAGGAAAAAGGCACATGAAGCAAAGTCCGGCAGACCTGGTTTATCTTCCAGTGGAGTTCCTCAGGCCACCTGCTTAGTCCTCCTTGCAAGAATGTGTGATAACACTAATGTAGAATTGCCAGCCAGGAGCTCAACTAAGCCTTGATGTTTATGATTTTTATTAGAGGTTAGTCATGACTGACATGTAGTCACCAGTCCCTCCAGGGCCCAGTGTGCTGTAATGTGGCCCAAGACTCCCACCGTGATCACATTAATTAGTGCAAACTGTCTGGCCCATTGAGGCCCTGGGCCCTAAGCTATCCAAACACTGCTGTCAGAGAGGATCTCTGAGGGTTTAGAGGTTATCTCCCAGGAACCTTGTCCAGGGCTAGTTCTTTCTTTGAAATGTCCAGTCTTGCTGCATTAACTCTTTACTGTATAGGCCCCACCTGCTAAGGAATCAACTGGGCCCAAGAGAGCTTTGTATTTCTAAGAGTTAAGGTGTTTATCCATGCAGTCTTGCCTTACACCTCATGATAATACAAGAGGCTTTGGGAAGGTGGTGACTTACTGTGGCTCAGCACAGGAGTTTTGGAGCCAGGCTGACCTATCACCTGAGTGGTCAGAGCCTCTGTCTTCATCTGTAAAACAGAATGCTAAGGGGCTGGGGATTTAGCTCAGTGGTTCCGCCACCTGCCTCACAAGTGCAAGAACCCGAGTTCGATCCCCGGTACCAAGAAAACCAAAAAAACAGAATGCTAAAACGTCCTGGATTTAATGGGAACGCTAACAGGCAACACTGGCAGAGGTGCCTGGGAGGTGATGAGCCCCAGGCAGGGCAGCTCTTCTCACCCCTTGTGAGACTGCAGTGGGATGGCAATCAGACTTTTGAGGATGTGAGACCCTTTTTGTTCACTCACTCTGCAATTATTTGTTGATCTCCTGCTCTGTTTACCAAGTGTGGCACTTGCCCCCTTTGAGAATCTAGTGACAGTTGTGCATCTCACTACCCTGCCCTCCAGATTTATGACTGGTTCCAGGAGTTCACTGCTTTTGCGAGAAGCCTTTGCATGAAGACACTGAATATTCATAGAACTTCCTGGGAGAATATTAAAAACAAAAACAAGAAGTCTGAGGGGAGAAAGGAATAGACTCTCTTTCTAGCCCCCATGCAGTGGAATTGGGTCTTGTCTTCTGAAAAAAAAGAAACTCAAAATCCACCCTCATTTCCTCTTCCCTGATTCCATCTGCAGAGAGTTTTGATTAAGAGCACTACATGAATACATTATCAAATATTAAGCACTCCGAAGAATTTATAGTAGGAGTGCAGGAGGTTCCTTTTGTTCATCCTCTTAGCATTTCCTTCCTCCCCTAGTGCTTCCAGACTTCCAGACTTTCCTAAAATGTCCATACATAAAAATACCCTGCATGGAGCCCTCCATTTCTATGGCTCCTGCATCTGCAGATTCAACTGAGATTTTTTAAAAACTGGAAAAAAATTGCATCTTTATTGAACATGTGGATTTTTCCCTTGTCAATAATCCCTAAATAATACAGTATAACTATTTACTATTTACATAGACTTTCCATTATATTAGGTATTATAAGTCATCTAGAGATTATTCAAAATATTCAGGAGGATGTGTGTAGGTTCTATGCAAATACTACACCATTTTCTGTAAGGGACTTGAACATCTGCTGATTATGGTATCCAGGGCGGTCCTGGAACCAATTCCCCCATCAACACTATGAGATGACTTTATATTTAAATCTGATCTTATTCTGGGGACATAGCTCAGTGGTAGAGTTCTCCCCTATAATATCTGAGACCCCAGGTTTGATCCCCAGTGTAGGGGAAATATATATATAGTCTTAAAGATTCATAAAATGCATCACTCTGATAGGTTATCCTAAAATGTAGTTTAACAAATTGCACTATAGAGGTTTCCTTGTGAACACATGCCACCTAAACAAACACCACCCTGTATTCTACATCAAACCATCGTTTTGCTGCACCATTTGTTCATTTATCATTTCCCCACACCAGCAAAGCTATGGTGGATATTACTGCACATGTCCCTCTGGGCAACACTCTTGAGTGTGTCTCTGTACAGTGGGAAGTGGTGTTGGTGAGGAGTCAACCATACATATCAACTTGACCACACTGAAACCAGAATCTTCTAGAGCCTTCCTTGGGGATGCCTTAGGGCAGCAAGTTAACCATCACTTGTCCCCTGGCCCATCCATAGTCCAGCTTGGGCACCATGAATCACCTCTTCTGTCTCTTTAAATAGCCATATATGAAAACATTGTTTTGTTCTTCACTTGGGTGCTGTTATACATAATCAGCTTGGGAGTCAGAAAAAACAAGGGTCACAACCTAGCTAAACTAGTTACTAACTGCACAACCATGGGCAAACGAATCCACTTTTTTAAACTTCAGCTTTCCTTTTTGTAAAACAGGGATAAATGGATAAGAACTTTACTGATCTCATGAAATGGTTTGGAAGCCAGCGAGATATGCAAACATATGATCCAGTTGAGTAAAACTAAGTATTGAAGGCTTAGAGCCCCCACACTGGAGCATTGATAAATGGTGACTAGGATAATTACTTTACTATTGTGAAGGAAGGGATGGGTTGCACCAGACCATCCATGTTGTCTCATCAGGATGTACCTTTATCCTGCCAGTGGCTAGCTAGCTAGAGTCATGGTTGGTGGCCACAGACCTCTGCTGCCAAACATATAGATCTCCAGTCTCGTTACTAGCTGCCAGCCTGCCTGAGCCATGAATTCCTCCGAAGGTCATAGCAATCTTCCATTTTAAGTCTCTTCTTTAAGAGAGTTCACTCAAAGAGTAAATTACTGCTCCTCCAAGGTAAGGGATGGATGGACATTTGAGAAAATTATGAACACAGGAAGCTCATGGTCACCACTGATTGGTTAGCAAAGGATATCCAGTCTCAGACCTGTGTTCCATTCCTTTCTGCATAACCAACCAGCCCATAGTTGAGTGACTGAGAACCTTTTATTGTCAAATCTCCAAGTTCTATAGGTGAACTAGAATGAGCTACGTGGTTCTCTATATAGATGGTGGCCAGGACTTCTATCATCCAGAGGCTTCTTCATTCACCTCTAGTGGCTGGGTTGAGCACATCACTGAACAGGGCCTGCAGGGTTCCCCCAAAGAGGAGATGGAACCTCAACTCATCCCATTCACAGCGAAGGTTGTGGGTTCACTGGTTTCTCTCACAGAAAAAATTGCAAGACATGTCAGTGAGAAGCTAGAAAGATTTCTTATAGGCAGAAATGTCTGCATGTAGAAGGAAGTGCATGGGCTCCTGGTGTGAGCTTTCAAGGTGGTCCCAGTGAGTCTTGTCTTCTGGTACCCATAACCTCTACAGGATCACTGTTCCTTCCCACACTCAACAGGACACGAGTGCCAAATTAAATACAGGATATGTTTACATTTGAATGTCATGTAAGAGAACAAATAATTCTTAGTATTGTTCATTTTACCTGAAATCCCCATTTAATTGGGCATTCTATATTTTTATTTACTAAATCGGGCAGGCAGATTGTAATCAATAATATATTGCAGAAATGGCAGTGTGTGATTCTTGGTAGTAAAAGACCTGGTGATTTCTTCCTTCTTGCTCTTGGGTCACTCATTCTAAAGGAAGCCAGCCAGTACATCATTAGGACGCTCAGCAGACCTATGTTCACAGGAGGTTCACATGGCAGGAAACCAAGGCCTGCCAGTGACCAGCACCCTCTTGGTACTGAAACACCTTGGAAGTGGATCATCCAGCCCTGGTCAAGTCTCCAGATGACTGCAGCACCATGTAAACCCTGAGTTAGAACTACCTAGCAAAGCCTCTCTCCAACTGCTATCCAAAGAAGTTATGCAAGATATTTATTGCTGTTTTAAGATGCTAAGTTTGGGCCTAATTTATATACTATTATAGATAATATATAAGTACTTATTAAATATTTGTTAGCAAGTGAATGAATGAATGCAGCTGTAGCTCCTAATCATACCTGTGTGCTGCTTTACAGACAACACCAATGTCTGTGGAAGCTCACATCCTAGCTTTCTATATAAGGACAGAGGCTTTACAAGTTCTTAAAAGATAAAGTAGAAACTATCTGTAAGAAACATTTAGAGGGGAATCAAATTTGCTAATCCCAGCTGATCTGAATTTTTAATTCTGCCAAGTTTAGGACACCATATATATTTTTGTAACAAACTTCAAAATAAGAATGAGCCATGTGCAACTGCATAATGTCACTGTCCTAGAAAAAGTACATGCGCTAGACGTTAAATATATCGACTTTGAAATGCCACTTAAGGATTGTTTCTATGGCACCAACCTATTTAAAGTTGAAACAGAACAAGAGTCCCCCTTCTCTCCTCCAAATCTTTAGAGGAAATGCATGCCATAGGTTTTATAAGGCAGTGGTTAGGAATGTGGACAGTGGGCTGGTAATGAAAACCATCTTAGAAGGTTGTAGAATTAAACAGATGATGCATGCAGAGGGGTCTGTGTGACCCCAGAAACATGACTCTGTAACTATTAGCTCAACCAGTTAAACAGCCATGATCTGGCAACCTATGGATGCTATTGCAAAGAGAACAACAGCCTAAAGTCTAAATCCTGGGTTCCAGGCTTGGCTCTGTCCTTAAACTCACTATATGGACCTGGCCTTTCCCCTTTGCCTGGACCTCCCCCTTTGCTCCTCTCTGAAAGGACAGATAAGGACCAATTAGGGTCCCACCAGATTCCTGTCAGAGTCTCCTTGTTTGGCAACCCCTTGTGGGAAGGCCACATGTCTAAGTACCTCATTGGGAATCTACCCATGGGCCTGGATGTCCCCAAGGCAACAGTTTTTCTGAGTGATGGAAGATCAGGATGGATATGAGACCCTGAATCTAAACCTTTGATTTCTTTTGCTCCTTGTTTTACCACAGGTTGGGCAAACAAACCCAGAAAACCCATTGATCTCTTAGCCTGACAGACTCTCACACAACAGTATGACACTGGGTTTTCAAATGAAAATTACCGAAACCTTTTACTAAGTTCTTACCATATCATGCTTTCCATGCATTAACTATCATTATTTTGTGTGTGTACTGGGGGGTGTTTTGAAAACAACTGTCTTAGAGTAGTACTGTCATTATTCCCATCTGTAAAATGGGAAAACTGAGATGCAGTAAGGTGAAGCAAGCTGACCCAGGTCCTGCATCTAGGAAGCAGCAAAATAAGACATATATCCTTGAAATTTTCATTCCAGAGCATTCATTTTAAAACACACACACACTCACCGCCTGCTGCGCAAGCACAAGGACCCGAGTTCGATCCCAGGTACCAAACACACACACACACACACACACACATTATAAATATATGGGGAAACATGTTTTCTTTAATCATGTGAGATTAAGCTGCTCGTTTGAAGCCCGACTACCCCCAAATGCCTTGGTATTTCTAATAAACAAGCACAGTATATATAACCAACAGGTAACCATTAAAATCAAGAATGTAGCACAGACACATCATTATTGTGGGTTCCCTGATAATTTTTCCAGCTGTTTTGATAATTTCTGTTTATTTTTTATTTTTGTGGTACTGGGGATTGAACCGAAGGACTTGTGCATGTTAAGCAAGTCCCCTAGCACTGAGCCACATCTCCATCCCTTTAGTTTTATTTTGAGACAGGGTCTTGCTAAGTTGCCTAAGGATGACTTTGAATTTATAATCCTCCTGGCTCAGCCTCCTGAGTAGTTGAGATCATAGGCTTGCATCACTGTGCCTGGCTCCAAAAATTTCTTTTATTGCAAAAAGATCCACGGCAGAACCATGCATTGCCACTTAGTTGTTGTCTCTGTAGTCTTCTTCAGGCATTAATACTTCTAGCTCTTTCTTTGATGTTCATAACCTTGATATTTTCTAAGGTTACAAGCCAGTTGTGCTGTAGAATATGCCTTTATTTAGTTTTTTTTGTTTTGTTTTGTTTTGTTTTTTGGTACCAGGTATTGAACTCAGGTCCTTACCCTTTGTTCAGTTTTATTTGATATATTCTCCTGATTAGATTCAGCTTATGCACCTTTTGGCAGGAATATCACAGGAGAAATGCAGTGATCTCAGGGCATCGTATCAAGGTGCATATGTCTTTACTTGGTCCCCTTCCTGACAATTCTCATTCTGTTCACTTGATCAGAGCCTGCACTCTTAATCACTCCACAGCCGTCTGCAAAGCTCCCTTCTACAAAAGCCACATGGTGAGATGCATTTGGTGCTGCAAATCCACTAGCATTAGTCCCTCATGATCAAAGTAACTGCAGCTTCATGAAGTCTGGTAAACCATAAGCATTGTGACAGAAAAGCTAAGCTTCTTTGTACTGTATTTTTGGCTCTGGGCTATAACATAAGTATACTATAGTTTCAAGGCCCAGGCCCAAAGCACTATCTTTTCCCTTTGGTTCCCTCACTCTGCTTCCCAGCAGACCTTGTACTCTATCAGGCTCCCTATCCCGGCCTTGGATTTCTGTTATCCTAAAATCCCAGGCTCCAGTTTCTTTCCTGAGTACATGCTATATATCAGGCATAAAGACTCCACATGTCATTGGGGATGTAGAGACCATTAAGTCACACTCCCCATTCCTAAAAAACCCACTGGCTTCACATACATATGTTTAATTCATAACAACCACGGGAGGGAATATTCCAAGTCCAGAGCTTTGTACACAAGTACCTCTTGGATTTTTTCATCACAAGGAGGAGAAAGAAAAATGCAGAGAAAACGAGTAAAAATTACCAACATGTCCTAAGCACACCAACCTAAGCAAGCCTAAGTACGCCATCTACCATCTTGCATCATATTATATCCTCTACCATTTTACAGAAGAGAAAACAGGCTCAGAAAGATGTAACGCTGGCTCCAGGTCCTCAGCTTGTACATGGCAGTCAAGATCACAACTCCAGAGCCGGTGTGCCCTTAATTTCTACGAAGAGTCCCAGGGCCATTGAAGGTTTCCTCAGGTGGGTCAATCTCTATTTTGTTCCTTTTATCCCTTGGACCTACCACGAAGGCACTCAGCACATTTTAATTGCATCAGTAGATGAATTCATTTACCTAGCCATTGGAAAGGAAGATAATGAAAATATTTCTTGGAGAAAACACTTGGGAACTCTGGAGTTTTCCCACTCCTTCTTTCAGTCTCTTGCCATCCCCCGCACAAGGCGACTTCTCTGGTTCCACACTGGTGCTTATACTGAGAGAGCCAAAGACAGTCGACACACACTCTGGATATTCGTTATTTTTATTTGAACGCCATGTGTCAGCCTCCCTACTCTCGTCGTTATCCTTCACAACCATTTTAGCAACTACTCCCAGATGCCCATTTCACAGATTTAGCATCTCGGCCTGGCAAAGGAGTCTCCTTAGGCCGAGGTGGCTCAAGAACTCCCCCGCGGTCATTACAAGATGGGCACTGCAGCACAAAACAGGCGCAGCACAGAGGCCGATAAGGCTGGGAAATCATTCCCAGGCCGCGCCTTGCAAGTCCACTTTTCTTTTTTACTATCTCAACTGGCAGCTGCAGAACAAACCCACCCTAGCGGTTTGGCGCTACTAGGGCGACCAGTACTCCATTTCCGCTGTCTAACGTCATTTCCGGCGCGCCAGCCCAGGAATCTTCCGGGTCTCGGCTGCCGCTGTGGCAGTCTTCGCGTGCGGCGTGTGAAATTCTTGTTGGTACCCTGGACCCTGCGTAGAGGTGAGCGGGGCAGGTGAGTGGGTGTGGCGGAGTGACGCTGGGTGTCTGCGGGAGTCGGGGCGAGGGCCCAGCCGGTGTGAATTCCGTTTCGCCCACAGCTCTGCCGGGGTGGAAAGGAGCGGTACCGCTCGGGTTGTAGGGGAGTCTCTACCTAGGCCCAGTTAGAACCCGAATCTGCTTGGAAGCGTAGACAGCAGGGTCGAGTGAAGTCCAAGTCCTGACTTCAAAAACTAATGGTTTGGAGCCCTTGTTGCTCTGCAATTTAGGGCACGGTACTTCCTTTCCTTGGCTTTTGTTTTCTTATCCAAGGTATGGAAATGTTAGTAGTATCCATCTCGTAGAAGTGTCTTGTATTTAGCATCTACCGAGGGGCCTATAATTTAAGACTACTCTGGGATTTTTAACATGCCCTGTGCCCAAAGAGGCAGTGTAGTATTTAATCTTATGCACGAGGGGCTCCCTACCTCCTTTGAGAACAGTTCCCACCTGTGCACTCCTGGATAGGGGTGAAACCGGCTGCCTGCAACCGGTGCACCGTGAGAGGGAGCAGGGAGAACATTCTTACGGTTGACCAGAGTTTGACACTGCCTGAAAGCTGCTTGCAGCAAGGCTAGAGCAGGAATGTGTTACTTTGTAATGCACCACACTTGCCCTTTTGTGCTTTCGATACTCAGTTTTACTGAGTACCTGGTGCAGTTGGAATTTAAACCCAGATTGTGATTTTTGCTGTGCCTGATTTCAAAATCTTCTCACAAGCAGTCTGTAAGGTTGTTTAGTCATTGATCCAATTTAAGAATGAGACAGACAAATCTCATCACCTAGCTATGAGGAGGTGGATTTATTCCAAATCAGAGAGGCGTGAGTGTTAAAGAAGTGTTCTTAATTACTGCAGGCTTTCAGCTCATTAGGAGATATTTGTATTTTTGGAGAAAAAAAATGACTTTTGCCCAAGAGTTGTTGAGTTTCAAAAAGTAATGTATTTCAGAAAACATTTTCTAAAATTCTTCTGGGACCACCAAGGGGGGAGATGAAATTCTTTCCTCAGTAATAAAAAGCACATTAAAATATGAGACCTAAGATGATGTTCCCCCACTTTCTGAGGCAATAATGTATAGATTGGCTTACTTGGTTATTTTTCTGTGTATTGTGTATTTGTGTGTGTGACATTGATGACTTTGATTAGGCCTAAGAAGTTGTACATTTTAAGAAGCATATAGATAGTTGGAACTAGTCTTTTGTTTTGTCTGTGTTACTACTGATTGCTTTCTGAACTGTGTTTTTACTGTCTACTCTATTGAATAGTAATAATGATTTTAATGAACTTTAAATTTGAAGAGGTGGTGAAGGGAGCAAGAAATACAGACTTCCAAGGAATCCTCCTGTTGCTTCCCTGGGACTTATCACTGATTATATTCTTTTTGTCCCTTTAGTGACTGGCCATGTCATTGTCCCACTTGTACCGGGACGGGGAAGGCCACATGGATGATGACGATGATGAGCGGGAGAACTTTGAGATCACTGACTGGGATCTCCAGAATGAATTCAACCCCAACCGGCAGCGCCATTGGCAGACCAAAGAAGAAGCCACTTATGGGGTGTGGGCAGAGCGTGACTCAGATGAGGAGAGGCCCAGCTTTGGAGGCAAACGGTATTGCTACAATGGGGCTGCTCACTCTTGCTTAAGGAAATGAGGGAGACATTCCCACAAGAATATTCCTTTCCTTGCCTTATTGAGTCCCTTAGCTCCAACATCAGCTAGGGAGGTCCAGTTTCTTCTTCAGGCTGACATGCTGATCTTTCACCAATCTGATCTTCAATCTGTACTTATGGAGCGATTAGTATGTACTAGGCCTTGTGCTGTAGACCCAGTCCTTGCCTTCCTGTAGCTCAGACTCCAGTGGATAGAGGTTAGCTAATATCAATTAGTAGCTCAGACGGTCTAACTTTGTAGCTGCAATAAGGACAAGAGGGACAGCACAAATGTCTAAAAGCACATTTGGTTTGTTCTGAGAGGTCAGGGGGAGATTTCTCTGAAGAAGTGAGCTGAGATGAAAATTAAAGGTGACTAGGGTGATAGGAGAAATGTATGCAGAGGCCTTTGATGGAAGGCAGCAGGGTATCTGGAAGAGTACAGAAGGTGTTATAGGCTGGAGTCAAGAGGGGAGGGTCGTTTGGGAAGGGTTGTTGGTAGAGAGGCTGTGATATGGGGTAGGTTAGGGTTTGCGAAAACCCTCTGCAGGTGTGCAGGGGAAGTGCGGCAACAATGAAGACAGAACTCTGAGAGGAAGGTGAGGCAGTGATCCCAGCAGAAGTGGCAGTAGTCTGAGCTGGGGAAGGTTGGGGAGATAAAGATTCGGGTCTATTCCCCAATGTTGGATCACCTGTGTGTGGGCCGCCACTTGAGCCATGTGCTCAGCCAACGTGTGGCCATGATTGGGACTTTTTCACAGTGGAGGCTGAAGGAGAAAGCCTAAGGATGAGTTATCATCCATATGACATCTAAAAGCGTAAGTGTAAGTGGACCAGGGATCAAGAATGGCATAATCTTGGGCTGGGGATTTAGCTCAGTGGTGCTGCTGCCTGTCTCGAAAGTGCAAGGTCCTGAGTTTGATCCCCGGTACAAAAAAAAAAAAAGGGATAATCTTAAGGTAATAATAGCCAACATGTATTGACTGCTTACTTGTCCTGGGTACTGCACAGCTGGTCTCATTCACTTTATGAGAAAGGTACCATTATTATCCGCATTGTACAGATTAAGAAATGGAGGCCCACCCAATGATAAATGTAAACGTATTGTATACCTAAAATGTAAACGTATTGTATACCTAAAATGTACCAATAAAAGAATTTAAGGAAATGGAGGCCCAAAGTCACATGGCTAGGTAGGACCTGAGCTGGCATTAAAACCTGGACCTCCATGACTCTCAAGTTGAGGCTCTTGACCACCAAGTTATAGTGCCTCTTTTAGGAAAAAGTTCTCTGAACTCTCTTGGCTGTTGTGGAGATGTTTAATTAGTAGGTTGGTCATTTTAATAAGGTATCATTTTATTTTGTAATATCCCAGGGTTTTTCATGGGATTTGTTTCTTTCTGTGCTCCATTAACCACACAGCTTTGTTTTATACAAAAGCAAACTGAAGGTAATCACTTATTGTAATTGCTGTGTTTCAAGTAGTCAGAATTTACAGTGGACCTTTAAGTGACAACTGGCCTGACATACGAACAGCTTGGGTTACTTAGGCTAAAGGAAGATTCATCTGCCTCTTGTTATCTATAGCATGTACTCAGGTAAACATCCAGATCCTAGCTGTATTGACTTACAGTCAACTTGATTACAGCCAGCCCTTGGAACCAATCGAATTTATAAGTCAAGGGTCCACTGTAAATCAATACATTTCATGGAGTTAATGTCTTAGAGTATTTTAGTTTTCAAATAAATTTAATGGATATGACTTTCTTAATTTGATAACATAATATATTTTGTATTCACATATTTCAACAGGTTTTACTTGTTCATGATTTTCATCCATCTGTAGTGGGTTTTTTGTTTGTTTTTGGTTTTTTGAGACAGGGTCTCGGTATGTAGTCCAGCTGGCCTTGAACTCACAGTGAGCCTCCTGCCTCAGCCTCCCAAGTGCTGGGATACAGGTGTGCACCACCACGCCCAGCTTCTGTTTTTTTTAATACTTGAAATAGTATCTAAAACAAATGATTGTTAAGGTAAACAAAAATGTAAAAGTGGCACGCATCTATAATCCCGGCACTCTGAGAGGCCGAGGCTGGAGGATCACAAGCTTGAGCCTAGCCTGGGCAACTGAGCAACTGTCTGAAAATAAAAAATGGGCTGGGCGTATAGCTCAGTGTGAAGGCCCTGGGTTCAATCTCCAGTACCACCACCACCTCCAAAAAAGTTATGTATGATTACAGAAAGTCTGTGCTTTTCTGATATTCTGATACATAAAAACAAGTGTCTCTTTTTAAAATTGGATCCCAGGAGGTGCTGCTGAGGAATTTTCTAGTGAGCCAAATTTCTAGGATGGGACAGAGGGCTACAGAAAAGTTCTTTACAGATCTGATGTTTCATATCTGTGCCTGCAGGGCCCGGGACTACTCTGCTCCTGTCAACTTCATTAGTGCGGGGCTCAAGAAAGGGGCAGCTGAGGAGGCAGAATTGGAAGACTCTGATGATGAAGAGAAGCCTGTTACACAGGATGACTTCCCCAAGGATTTTGGACCAAAGAAGTTAAAAACGGTAGAGTCTTATGGCAGGATACTCATCCAGAGATATCTTTCAGAGGTCCCTGTGGCCTGAGCACTCCTTGAGAGGGAGCAGCTCAGTGGGCATCAGTCATGTGGGTTTCTCCCCATGGCAGCGTGTTTCTGTGCGGTTGTCTTTCCTGACATGCATTGTGGATAGATTTTTGGTTCATGTGACATCTTCATTGCGCTCTGTAAGAGTCAGGCCATTTTCTTGCTGGCTAAGCTTTTCTAGATTTTTCTTTTGCAATTTGCTAAGTCTGTTTGTTTTTTTCTTTGCAGGGTGGCAATTTTAAGCCCAGCCAGAAAGGTTTTGCAGGAGGAACCAAGTCTTTCATGGACTTTGGCAGCTGGGAAAGACATACAAAAGGCATTGGACAGAAGCTTCTTCAGAAGATGGGTTATGTGCCCGGCCGGGGTCTTGGGAAGAATGCACAAGGTATGGCTGCAATGTCCTGGGTGTGTGCCCCATGGAGGCCAGGAGAGGGAAGAGGGGGGCAGCTGATGGAGGGTTTGGTTTTCTCTGCTTTTTCCCTTTTGAATGTCCTGAACGCTGCTCCTGGGTTTGCCAACACGGGACAGTTGTGGTCCTCATCTACCTTACTTTCCCAAAACCAGGTTCAATAAAGTGCCTCAGTGGGAGGGAAAGCATTTGGGTCTAAAACATGCAGGAGATAGTTGAAAACAGGGTTTGTTTTGGCCTGACCATCAGTGTTTCTAAAATAATGAATTAGTTGCCCATGTTGCAAAATCATTTATACCTAGAAGTAGGTTTTGGCTGGGAGTAGTTCAGCTGAATCATAGCTCCCCTGGGACCGCACATGCCTTCACTTGGAAGCAGGCTTCACCACTCCCTGTTGTCTTGAACCGTGGCCCACTTTATTCATTCCCATGAGTTTGCCTGGGTCTTGAAGGCATTTAAGTTTCCAGTGCCTACTCATAGGGTTTTGATTTTCCAAAAACAATGATTTATGTGTTCCTCAGGAATATCAGTAAAACATTCTGTATAGCTTTTTAAATTTTCTTTCTTTTGGAACTGAGGATTGAACCCAGGGCCTTCACACTGAGTTACATCCCCAGCCTTTTTATTTTTGAGACATAGTTTCACCAAGTTTCCCAAGGTGAGCTTGAAATTCAGCCTCCAAGAGTGCTGGGATTACAGGCGTGCACCATCACGCTAGGCTCTGTGTAGCTTTTTTTAATAGTAGAGATATGTAGCTGTAGTATTCGCTAAGCATTTCCTGCCTCGGGTCCCTCTGTGCTCGCTTGGCAGCCCAGTCTCCTCTGTCTTCTCACCCCCAGCCCCGTCGAGACATCTCCCCTCACACACAGGCTTATCTCCTTTATCTTAGAGCCACATAGTTGGATTCTTCCTGCAGGAACTTTTCCCTCTCTTGTGCTATTTCCTAGGAATGATCAGAACTGGGAATTGGATATAATCAAAAGTATTTCCTATGATTCACATTCTAGTTTCCAAATAGCTGTTAAAAGTTACTTCAGGAGCCGGGGATTTAGCTCCGTGGTTCCGCCGCCTGCCTCGCAAGTGCAAGGTCTTGAGTTTGATCCCCGGTACCAAAAAAAAAAGTTAACTTCAGGTTATGTATTGAAAATATTAGCCAGAAGAAAAATTCATGAACATGAAGGATGGTAGAAATGCTGACCTAGAAGGAGAATGTGGATGCAGATCTTATTTGAGATTTCAGTAGTACTAGAAAGGGCCAGGAAGGTTGGAAAATTTGGGGTGGGGGGAGGCATCATCATTGATGCCTTATGATCCTGTTTGTAAATGCTTTTATGAGAATACCCTAACATATATGTCCAGGGCCTAGACGTGCTATAAAAGTGAAACACAGGCAGTATGAACTGCTAAACAGATGAGCAGTCTCTAAATATTAAATTGCAGCTTTACTTCCATCAGAACCAGTATACTGCCCAAATTACTGTGCTTGCCACAATAGAGGCTTCCAGATGCGGAAGTGTAAAATTCAGTATGGCTAAGTTCTCCGTTCTAAACGAATCATTCATTTTCTTCCTGTCCACCAACATGGTGAATCCCAGTAGAAATGAAGTCTGCCCTTTGGACATAAATAACCTCAGGTCAACAACAGTTCCATGGTAACATCAACAGCCAAAACTTTCAGACCACGTGGGATGTGAACAGTGTTCCAAGTATAGGGCAGCACACTCCTTGCTGAGTGGGGTGGTAGTTTGTGTAAGGAGCAAGGAAATGTGATTTCATCAAGTGGCTTGTTCACATACATGAGCTGATCAGATCTGCTGCTTTTTCTTTTGCTGAAATTGGCCAGGTATCATTAACCCCATTGAAGCCAAACAGAGAAAGGGAAAAGGAGCTGTGGGGGCCTATGGCTCCGAGCGGACCACTCAGTCCCTGCAGGACTTCCCCGTGGTGGACTCAGAAGAGGAGGCTGAAGAGGTAACCAGGGGACAGGAACTTCGTGGGTGGGGTCCTGTTGTCATTTCGATAGCTGTCTGTCCATCCATTCATGCATTCTGTATGTCTTCAAATGTTTACTGCTCACAGTCTATATGCCAGGTACGTACGTGGAGCCTGGATGTGCCCTGATGGATGAGCAGAGAGCCTACTGGACAGAGACAGACAGCACACAAGCAACCACAATCTGCTTAGAATGGCAGTGTGTCCCAGGAAGTGCCTACAGAGAAAATAAGGACAGGGAGAATGGTGCTGACCTATGTCTAATAAACAGGATGGGAAACCTTTAGGGAATAAAACATTTCAGTTGGACCTAGTGGAGGAGAAGGTGCTAGCAATAGGGAGAGTCAAGAGGCCAGAAGACACTGGGTTAAAGTACTACGTGAGAGTTAGAGACCTTACAGGGTGCCACTGTGGTGGGGGGCAGCGCACAAGCCAGAGGAATTGATGTGCTCAGAGAGGTGGGCTGGTCTCCCAACAAGGCCTGAGTGGCCGTTTTTAGGTGCTCAGGTTTCATTCTGTTGCTGCATCAAGCCATCAGTTGGTAGTGGTGTGTCACATTAGAAGGGTTAGCTCTCGATTGAGGCATTTGTCTTTTGCTTGTATGAGAGAAACCAGGATGCCACAAAGGAACATGTTACTGTTGTCACTGATCCGCTCCTTTTAATGAGGAAGGAGGCATTTGGTAATTTGGGGCTGACAACTGAGTTGGGTTCTCAGACTTAGATGTGAATGGGTGTCAGGCAACAGGTGTGGCATCTCACGCCAGGTGCAAGACAGCAAGGTGTAGTGGAGAATGAGGCACCTGGCAAGGTGTAGCCATCTGAAGGGGAAGTCTTTGTTCAGGTGTAAATGATTGTTGCCACCTGAGAATGTGGGTTCAGTTTCCCCCGATCTTCTCATTTCCCCAAAATGGCCAGAAGTCCAGATACTCTTTGAGAAAAGTACAGGATTAAACCTGTGTGAAGAAAATAAAACGACAACCACAAAACCAACTTCTGAGGGTTGGACTCTGCCAGTTTCCTCTTTCATTTTACATCACCCTGTGGAGAAGTTTGGCACACCTGACTGTGAAAGACCTTGGCTTTGAGACTTGGGGCCTGTTCCTCACGATTTGTAAGAGTGTCATTAGATGGTTTCAATGTTATGCACGTACAGTTGTTCACAAAGACCGTGGTATAGATTAAGGCAGCAGCTGGTGACTGATGGCCTAGGTTGGCCCCACCTGCTGTAAGAAGTGGCACTTCCTGTTGAGACTGACTATAGCTCTCTGCTTCAGGAGTTTCAGAAGGAGCTGAGCCAGTGGAGGAAAGACCCTAGTGGAAGCAAGAAGAAGCCAAAGTACTCTTACAAGACGGTGGAAGAGTTGAAGGCCAAGGGCAGAATTAGCAAGAAGCTCACTGCTCCCCAGAAGGAGCTTGCTCAGGTCAAGGTATGGTGCCCTTGGATACCCAGGCCAGGATCTATTCAAAAACACAAAAAAGCAACCCCCACCTGAATAGACACTCAGCATTTCCTAAGCTTCTTTGGGTCTTATTATTTTGTGTGTGTGTGTGTTGGGAGACAGGGTTTGGCTTTGTAGTTAAGGCTGGCCTTGCACTCATGGCGATCCTCCTATCTCAGACTCCCAAGTGCTGGGATTACAGGCATGTACCACTACACCTAGCACGGGTCTTTTAATTGGGTGCTTTTGTTTCTCTTGTCCTCCTTTTGTGACCTGGTAGTAGCAGGTTCCATTCAGGACACTTGACATGTTCAGTAGTGTTACTGAGTTCCAGCTCTGTGCCAGGGACCTTCATGGCACAATAGTGGTAAACCAGACAACAGTGCACGTGGAGTATTAGTTTCCCACCACTTTCCCAAGGAGCTGAGGAACACTGGCAAGAACTGGCTATTGTAGTTTAGTGTAGGATATAGACTGTGTATCATAGAACTAAAAAAGCCCAAAGTGGGGTTCTCAAATGGTCTGTGTCATTGGTATCAGATAATCTGGTGAACCTGGTAAGAAATGGGGGTGTTCAGGTTTTACCTAGCAATTTTGAGTCCGTAAATCTAGACTTTTTTTCCCTGTGGTTCTAATGTAAGTGGTTCGTGGATCACACTGCTAGTTAAAAGTGACAACTCTGTTTCAGAAGCACAACCCACACTCAGATTTCCTCAGTTTTCCTACAAAGTTGAGATCAATCAGTTCATTCCCAAAGCTGCCTTTGTCCAAGAAACTTTGTGTGTGTGTGTGTTTCAGTCTTTATTAAAAGAGTCACATGCAGGGCATTAAAAAAATTAGGAAATCCAGAGAAGCAAAAGTATGAAAAAGTTTCTGTCATTCGAAAGATTGCCAAATTTTAACATCTTCACGTACTTCCTTCTAGGTCTTTTTTTTTTTTTTTTCTATTCTTGTATGCATATATTTGTGGTTTTTATCAAAATGCCATAGTTTGATTGTACATATAGTTTTGTTACCTGCTTTCAGCAGTATGGTCTCTTCCATGAAAATGCATTTTCCTCACTAATACTCAGTCTCTGTTGAAATTTTCTTGGTTTTCCTAACATCTGTTCTCTGTGTGGCTGTCCCGAGGGGTCAGTCTGGAACTGCTCTCTGCACCTGCCCTGTCCCCTGCAGCTCCTCTGATTGAGTACAGTGTAGTCCCCCCGTAGACACTCTGCCCTTCTTTAGCGCTACTGACTAGTGTGGTTCCCACACACTGCTGGCATCAGGCTTTCCCTGGGCTTCATGCTGTTACCAGGCAGCAGTGGGGAGTGTTAACCTGTGTGCCTTCTGCCCCCTTCTCCAAGGTCATAGACATGACGGGCCGGGAGCAGAAGGTCTACTACAGCTATAGCCAGATCAGCCACAAGCACAACGTGCCAGACGACGGGCTGCCTCTGCAGTCTCAGTTGCCTCCCCTGCCCGGCAAAGAAGCAAAGGCCCCAGGCTTTGCACTGCCTGAGCTGGAGCACAACCTGCAGCTGCTCATTGACCTCACTGAGCAGGAGATCATCCAGAATGACCGGCAGCTGCAGTATGAGCGGGACATGGTGGTCAACCTCTCTCACGAGCTAGAGAAGATGTCTGAGGTCCTGGACCATGAGGAGCGGGTCATCTCCAACCTTAGCAAGGTGCTGGAGATGGTGGAGGAATGCGAGCGGCGCATGCAGCCCAGCTGCAGTGACCCACTCACGCTGGATGAGTGTGCCCGCGTCTTTGAAACCCTGCAGGATAAGTACTACGAGGAGTATCGGATGTCGGACCGCATGGACCTTGCGGTGGCCATTGTGTACCCACTCATGAAGGACTACTTCAAGGAGTGGGACCCCCTCAAAGTGAGTCGTGGGGGTGTCTGCCTGCATGCCTCATCTGGGCCCTTGCTTGACGGCTGTGCAGAGGGCAGGAGGGCTGGCTGACCTGTGAGGTGTTTCTCTGCAGGACTGTGCCTATGGCACCGAGATCGTCTCCAAGTGGAAGAGCCTACTGGAGAACGACCAGCTCCTGTCACACGGCGGCCAGGACCTCTCTGCAGATGCCTTTCACAGGTCCCAGGGCAAGCCCTGCTGTCTCTTGGGGCTGGCAGGGTGGGGGCAGAGCTGGGGCTTGCTTGTGAGGGCTGGGGACGGCACGCTGACACTCTGGGAATTTAGACTCATTCATTTACCCACTCAGCCCGTACTTGTTGAGTGTGGCACAAGTGCCCAGTGCTGGGTGTAGCCTAGGAATACTGCCTAGGAGTACTTGGTGCTGTGGAAATGGCAGGTGGCATGGAAGGAATGACCCAATGATGCAGCAAACACAGGGAATGCAGTAGCAAATAACAAGGGGAAACAGCAACATGGGTGGGGTTGGAGCAGAGACCTGTCAGAGGAGGGGACTTTCAGGCTGTGTCCCAGAGCGTGAGAGGTTTGGCTAAGGGGGAAAGCACCTCGTGCTTGGGGAGGGTCCCTGTGTAGGGGCCGTGAGCCTGTGTGATCTTGAAGACTGAGGCCCCAGGGGTCCAAGGACAGTGAGGTAGCAGCAGGCTGAAGTCTGGCTAGCCAGTGTGGGGACTGGCTTGGTGGCTTTCTGTGGCTGGAATTCTGCTTCTGCTAGAGTTGGGAGTTGGTGATGTGTTTAGTGGACTTTCAAACCAGTCAGAGCAGCCAGTCCATCTGCCCTCTGGCTTTCTCCATAGGCTGATATGGGAAGTCTGGATGCCTTTTGTTCGAAATATTGTTACCCAGTGGCAGCCAAGAAACTGTGACCCAATGGTAGACTTTCTGGACAGCTGGGTGCACATTATTCCTGTGTGGATCTTAGATAACATCCTCGACCAGCTCATCTTCCCCAAGCTGCAAAAGGAGGTGAGGTAGGGTGTGGCAAGTGCTGCCATCGGGCACTTGGTTTAGTATTTTCTCCATTATGATCTCCCTGCTGTTAGAATTTCTGGAATTAACAGGAATTTGTCAATACAGATTTTACCCTAAAGAGAGTCCTAGCCTTTTTCTCAGTACTTTTTTCCCCACTCCTTTAAGAGGGAATTCATTCTCAGTATCTTCAATGAAATCAGAATTAAGTGTTTCTGAGATCACTGACAGTGTCTTCGCTCAGGGGAAATGAAATACAAAATGGCTACAATGCACCTTGGCTGCCTCTTTGTGCCTCACGCTTCTGTCCATGAAGTAGGGGCTGTATCCTCCACACATAGGAAGAGCACTGTGGCCCTCAGCCAGGTGTGCACGGGCTTCCTCACAGGTGGCCCTTGCCTGTAACTTGCCAGGGTAGGCTGTGTGACTGTTTTGTTTCCCGCTTGCCATGCAGGTGGACAGCTGGAACCCCCTGACAGACACTGTCCCCATCCACTCCTGGATCCATCCATGGTTGCCCCTCATGCGGGCACGCCTAGAGCCGCTCTACTCCCCGATCCGCAGCAAGTTGTCCAGCGCCCTGCAAAAGTGGCATCCTAGCGACTCCTCAGCCAAGCTCATCCTCCAGCCCTGGAAAGATGTCTTCACCCCTGGCTCCTGGGAGGCCTTCATGGTCAAGAACATCGTGCCCAAGCTAGGTAAGGAAATGGGGCCATGCATTCCAAGTCCACCATGCCCTGGTCTGTGGGCAGTGGTCATGAACTAAACTAAAGCATGGCTTTTGAATTCATGGAAATGCTTGGTAAATCTAACTGGGGTCCTTTCTGCTGTTTAGTTATGGCAATGCCTGAAAGTCTGCAGAGTATTGGACTCACATTGCCTTTTGGTTTGCCTGATTGGCCCTGTCTTGGCTTCTGGTGACAGGACAGCCATTGTTGATCTGAAATTATTGTGGCATTTTACTCTGAATTATTAGGAATTTATTTCTGGGTAGGAGAAAAAAAATGTTTTTTAAGAACTGCTTTGTCAAGAGCTTAAAATTGACCTTTAAGAGCAGATCAAAGCTGCTCTCTCTGGTGATAATTGCCCTTTGACTTTGTCAGGACAAAAATTGAGCCTAGGAACGAATTCTCTTGCAGGGATGTGTCTTGGGGAGTTAGTTATTAACCCCCACCAGCAGCACATGGACGCTTTTTACTGGGTGATCGACTGGGAAGGGATGATTTCTGTCTCCAGCCTTGTGGGGCTCCTTGAGAAGCACTTCTTCCCCAAGTGGCTCCAGGTGAGCTTTGTTCTGCTTGGCTCTGGGAGGACGGGGGTGGGGGTGGGGCACTGAATTTCCTGCTGAGGCCTGGCTTCATATGAGAATGAATTAGTGTGGTAGGAAGAAGTGACTGTTATGATAGGGGCCCGTTTGCTGAACATGTGTCATAGGCCAGCTGCTGTTCTTAGTACTTAATTTGTATTAGGTCAGCTCCTCAAGCAGCTCCTTGGAGTAGGGACTGTGAGGTCCCTGTCTAGGGACATGGAGGCTGAGGCTCAGCAACAGCACATGCTACCAGGCTGACTCCAAAGCCACTCTTCCATGCCAGGCTCTTCAGTTCCTATGAGCCCTGTAAATAAGACCAGCATTGGCAGTTATTCTATTTGTTGCCTCTGGGGATGCAAGCGTCTTGTCTGTTTTTGGCAGGTGCTGTGCTCCTGGCTCAGTAACAGCCCGAATTATGAAGAGATCACCAAGTGGTACCTGGGGTGGAAATCCATGTTCTCAGACCAGGTGCTGGCACATCCATCCATCAAAGACAAATTTAATGAAGCCCTTGATATCATGAACAGGGCAGTGTCCTCTAATGTTGGTGAGTAGGGATACCCACTTAACCATGTCCTGGTCCCAGGGTCCTGGTTTCTAAACATGAAATGACAGTCTGCTTTCTGGTCCCCACTGGCTGCCTAAACAGGTACTCTTCATTCTTCCATTGACAGTCGCCACTGGATTCTGTTAGCTGTCACCCCATCCCCTCTGCCCAGCTCTCCTGTGCCTGGAGGAGTGTTTGTCCCTGAGTGGAGACTGACTGGGCATTCTAATGATGTGACTCCCAACTCAGGGCCCACCTTGTCTGCAGTGCCATGTTGCTTAGGTTCCCCAGCTTGTGCCCAGCTCTCTTGGGTGTGCTGTTCACGTGTCAGTTTGTGGTTGGCACAAACTAATTTTCTTATCAGCCAGTTGTGCAGTCTTTCCCCAAGGTGCTTGACTGTTAGCCCACATGTCTTTTGGGGCACAGCTGCCCTCTGTGAGTAACAGGTACCCTGGTGTACCCAGACCCAGTCCATGTCCCAGTGACAGTTCTGGTACTCCTTAATGCTGCCCCTCACTGCCCTCCCTCCTGTCTCTCAGGTGCCTACATGCAGCCAGGGGCTCGGGAGAACATTGCCTACCTCACCCACACGGAGCGGAGGAAGGACTTCCAGTATGAGGCCATGCAGGAGCGACGAGAGGCCGAGAACATGGCCCAGAGGGGCATTGGCGCAGCTGCCAGCTCTGTGCCCATGAACTTCAAAGACCTCATCGAGACCAAGGCTGAGGAGCATAACATTGTCTTCATGCCCGTCATTGGCAAGCGGCATGAGGGGAAGCAGTTGTACACATTTGGCCGCATTGTGATCTACATCGACCGAGGGGTAGTATTTGTGCAGGGCGAGAAGACCTGGGTGCCCACCTCCCTGCAGAGCCTGATTGACATGGCCAAATAGACTGTGGCAGGTCAGGAGCAGGCCATGGACTTGTTCTTGATGAGGACTGTTATGAATAAATAATTTAAAATCATCTCTGGAAGCCTAACTTCTCTACTTAGGAGATACCCCAGCACTGGTGCTTATACTGATCAGCTTTTCTGTTGCTGGGACAAAATACTTGACACTAGCAGCTTAAAGAAGTAGAGGTTTATTTGGCCCAAAGTCTCAGACCCGTGGTGGGCTGACTGCAGGACAAGAACATGGCAGAGAGTGTGGTGGAAGACAGGTGTTCACTGCATGGCAGCCAGGAAGCAGAGCTTAGAGAGGAGTGCCTGGCCCCAGTGCCCACTTCCAGCTGGGCCCCACATCCTAACAGCACATTCAGCTCGCACATCAGAGGATAATGCACTGAGGACTATAGTGCCCTGTGATCCAGTCACCTCTCCAGGTGTCTCCAGGAGTGGTAGAGCACTTGCCCAACATGCACAAGCCGTTAGTTCAATCCCCAGCATTACACACTAACACAGAGATACTTACATGAGACCAAGCCACTCGGGGAGGATGTAAAAATGCTATTTTAGAAGTCTGTACATCTTCATACTGAGTACTTACACAGCATGTCATCCTTAAAACAGGACAGCCAACTTGCTGTATTTCTGGTTCTCATCTGACATTTGGCCCACTGCAAAGAAAGGGTTCCTCTGCGTCCCTCCCCAGCAGCTTTCCTGTCTGGCTGGTGGCAGCTTCCACATAGGCAGCACTGTATGCCTCACACTGGGTTCATGTCAGCAGTGGGAGGATCTGTTGTTTTCCTGATGATCTCAAGGTCCTCACAGCCCTGGTAATCAGGTTCTTCCTGAAACATCCACAGATCTCTGGGGAGGCGTTCCAGCTTTTGTGTAGGGAACCAGTGGACTGAGGTGTCATTAAATGTGTCCATGTACTCTGAAGTCTGAGGAAACTCCACCTCGTCCAGTCCTTCCAGAATCTGAGCAGGAAAATTCAAATATAAAGTCTTCTTGGTCATAGAAACCCCCACTGTTCTAGCTTAAACTCCCATTTTACTTATCACCCTGTTGTCCGTTTGGGAAAATAAGGAATATTTTTATTTAAATGTGTTTGTGTAGTGAACTGGAAACCCCAAAGGCGGTGGATAAGTTGGATTATGATATTGAAAATAAAGGAAATTAAGCTTTCTGGAGCAGAGATCTGTGGGGTGCACTCACTGACAGCACACTAATTCCCCCATCACTAGCCCCTAGTTCCCTCCAACACATACCAAGGCAGACTTCTTCACAGTGAGGGAGAAGTAGAAAGATTTCTTACCCACCTCCCTCCCAGCCTCCTTACTCAGATACATACCTTTGCAATGTAGGGATAATTTTTCTGCAGAATCCTTGTCAACAACCTACAAGTAAAAACAACAGTGACTAGGAGGTGTGTGAATGGTTTTATTAAACACAGAAAAGCAAAATGACCTGAAAAATAGGAAGAATTCAGAACAGAATGAGGGATGTGGAGTATATTAGCTAGCAGAAAATGTGAATACCTAGTAATTGTGTCCCATTGTCAGCAAAGAAATGCTAAAAGCAGACATCTAAGCATCATGAAATGGAGGGTGTGGATCTACATGCAAAGGAATTAAATAGCTTTTCAAAAACATTCCTGTCTTGTCCTAAGAGAAGGCAAGGATTATTTGTGAAGACCCCTTCACTTGCTTCACAGCTTGACTAAGGGTCTGATAATGTGTTTTTAACTATTTATCCAGTTCCTTATAGAATAGCATCTCCACATCCAGAACAGTCATGGAAACGTTTTCTGTTTGTGGGTCAACTTGGTATGGGCTTCACCTCCAGGCCTGACTGAATCCCAGTATCCGAAGACTCACCTTTCCTCAAGGCCTCTGAAACTGTTCCCGATGATGACCATCCTGGACAGGGCATCTACGGACCAGTTACTCCACAGAAGATTGTTGTACAAGGCTGTCCCACAGTGAAGCATGTAGAAGATGGTGGGCTCCCCACAAACACTCCGCTTGCCTTCCTGGGGAATGAAAGAAACAGATGGCAACGCTCACAGATCATTGGGACACATAGATAACAAGCCGAGATAAGCGGAACATCAAATGAAATGAGACTGTGGAATAGTTCCATCAGTAGTGTGTGTGAAATCTATGCAATCATGGGATAGAGACAGGAAATCTGACTCCAGGAAGAACTCACTTAACAAATGTGTCACATGAACACAGTCCCTTCATGGACTAATAAAAGGTCTTCTTGGTCTGTGACAGGACAGGAGGGTGACAGTGGTCACTGTCCCCATGTTCAGGAATCTTCCATGCTTCCTGTGTCACTTTCAGGGCCCCATCATAACTGAAGGCCCTTCAGATATCCCTGGGAAGGCACAATGTCTCCTTCGTGGGACTCACTGCTCTTTACCAAACTCCTTGGCAGGAACACAGGCCTGGTCTACTTCAGTGGTGTCCTCTCTCCCATTTTCCTCACAGATTCTCTTAGGTCAGTAACAAACTGGCAGTGGTATCCAGAAGCCAGCTCTGCAGATCTGCCTGCAATTCTGCTTCTGGGCCTTTAGCAAACTCATGATGCGCTGCCAAATCCCAGCTCAGACCCAGGAAACCTTCCCTGGTTGCCAAATATCTGTCCTGTCTCAGCTCCTTGTATGCAGTTCTGACACAATGGCACATTCATCATTTACAGTTTCAGTCTATGAACCTTGATGTAACCATGGGCTCTCTGAAGACAGGGACTGGCTCTCATTTTTCTTCATCTCCCTTAAGCTCCCTGCCCAGCTCCAAGCAGGCACTCAGCAAAGATGATCTCGACCAAATGACAGTGTTTTCAGATACTGCCACCACTGGGGACAGATTTTTCTCTTGACTGGGCCTAACTTTCAGGCCATACAATAAACAATGAGATGGCAGTTTCAGGACACACAGAGGAATAAAGCAACTCTGTAACTCCCAAGACAATGCAAACCTACATCAAAGGTGTCTGCTCATACTGGTGTCAGCTCTGTGCCTGTGAAATAAAGCTTTTCAGAGGTCTCGGAAATATCCAATCCCAGCTCTTCATGGGATGGAGGTATCACAGGATTTAGCTGCAACTCACAGCCAGGTGCTGGGGTGTGACTGGGCTCAGAATCATGGAGGGCTGAGAAGAGGTCCCATCCCCTTTTACTGCTGCCCAGGGACAAGGCAAGTTCCAACCAGAAGAGCCTCAGTCACAGCACCCAGACGTTGTGCCCTCTCAGTTTTTAAATAGCAGCCGGAAATACCAATTAACATAATTCTGGGACAAAGAATCCTTGCAGAAATTTTCCAAACTTAATATGTTCTAGTTCATACTATTTGTGTAATTTGAAATTTTTCTGATGGGTACAGCATAAACCAAAATGGAGGTGACTGACTAGTCAAATTTTACAGGAACTGGGAAAGCAAGCAAGCAGAGGAGAGGAATGAACAGTATTTCAAAGAAATGTGTCCATGGGCAGAGCCTGAAGTTGGTCTGGTCAAGATGTACACAGCCTGCCCCACGTTTCCCCTAGTTCCTTACCTCATTCTCACTGAGAACTGTCACACCAAGGGTGTGAAGAACTGCAATTTCGAGTGGACTGAACAGAGGGTCATAGACCCAGCAGTGACTTCTAGGAGTCTAGAAGGGAAGAATGAGTTATTTCAATGCAGAAGCATACTGTGTGCAAGACCAGGGAGGGGAGATGAAGGTGGATCCAGAACTTACCTGGCACTTGTCCAAGAAGAGAAGCAGAAATGCTAGCTGGGTTCTAGCTGTGATGCAGGTGGCAAAGTTCCCAATGCCATAACACACACACTTCACACGGCAGGTTCCCGAGACCAAGGGCTCTCCTGGGCTGGAGGCATGGGCCACATCGGACTCACCTAGTGGTGAGTCAAGGTGCAGGTTTCCGAAAGCTTCCGACAGAGTCTTCACAGGAGGCTTCTGTTGTCCTAGCTGTTCTGTAAGGCATCGGCTGATGGATTCTGAAACAGCAGCCCCCAAAGGCAGTCAGAGGGTATGTTTTGCCCTTGAGAGCCAGATCACCCACCAGAGAAGTCTCAGAGCCGGGGAGAAACGCAGCAGGGCAGTAAGGGCTTCAGCTCCCCAGAGAGAGAAGCCACCCGGGATGTGCAGCCATGTCCATCACAATCTGACAGGCTATCCCAGGCACTGGATTCCTAGGGCCCAAACCCCAAGAAGATCTTTCAACAAAAAATGGGCTTCATTCATAGACAGTTTCCATCTAAAACTCTAATGTGAACTCATTCTAATTTAATAGGAAGTTCCTAGTAAGTGCAGCCTATGCTCTGAAATAGTGTTTTGCTTATAACAAAGACTAGAAGAACATAACTCAAAATCATACTACAAATGTCTGAGAATAGGAATGCTAACCTGTGAAAAGGTCAAAGAGAAAAAGGGACACTAGGGACCTCAAGAACCTAAGAAAAAAATACTCTGTTTAAATACTGTTAAAAGAGGTAGGTTCTCTTGTCCCTTTTTAAAATTATGCCGATAGTGAATTTAGTTGAATAAATCTGTATGCAAAACAAAACAAAAAGCCATACATTGCAATGATAAGGTATCAATTTTCACTTATCAAAGTAGCTATATAGATTGGGACAGGAAAAATTATTTGAAAAACTGACTCCTTAGGTCCTTGCTGATAAGAGATTTTTGTAAAAGCCTTTCAGAAAACAGCTTAACAATGCAAATTGAGTTGGTGACTGCTTTTTACTAAACAATTTCACTTCTGTGAATATATCCTACTGAATCATACTAAACTTGGTAAAAGCTTTATACATAAAGTTGCTCATTGCAATGTTGTGTATAATAACTAAAACATAAATGAAAGACACTAATTGGTCTTCAATAAAAAAGCTATCTATGGGGCCAGGGGTTTAGCTCAGTGCTTCCACTACCTGCATCACAAGTGCAAGGTCTCGAGTTCGACCCCCCCGGTACCAAAAAAAAAAAAAAAAAAGCTAACTCTGGTATGCTCACTCAATGCGTAAATATCATGTTGCTACATATTATATTTAAGAAGAGATTATAACTGCTTGGGGAAAAGTACACTATTACATCAAGGGAAAAGAACATGATGATGATCATGAGAAAGACAGCTAGCATTTATTGTCTTCTATGCAGCAAGCAAGCACTGTGCTAAGCATGTACCTACATGACCTCATTTAATTCTCAAAACTATATTACTGGACATGTATATGATCATCTTTATTTCACAGATAAACTGAAGGTTAGATATAGTTAACAGCCAAAGGAGACACAGCCCTAAGGGAAAAACCAGAATTACGACCCAGCATGAACACTGCTCTGAGAAGTGAAACGTCCTCAGATGAGGACTGGATTTCCTTCTCTGTCCACACTGAGGCCCCCCTCCCTCCCCTCCCAGCCTTCTCCTTGGCCAGGTGGTATGTACCTACTGCTGAACTCCAGAAAGCAGAGATAAGCAGGTCGTTCCTGTTGAGAAAAGAAGGCACAATCATCTCTCATCCTTTCAGCGCTACCCTAGCAGTATCTTTCCACCTGACCATGAGGTAGATGCCTTGAGGACAAGTGCCCTCCACCTACAGCCCACTCTTACTGCCCCTTAAGAGATGTGCACACACTGACAGGTCCAGAACCAGTCTCCATACTGCTGGGGTCAGAGGGGACAGGAGAGGCAGTTTCCTAGTGGAAGCCCTGGATTTTTGGCCCACAACAAAGTTTGGCAGAGCTGTGGCTTAATAAATAGTTGCCAAATACTTGGCCTTGACCTTCCTGAACTTTAGTCTCTTCATCTCTAGAATGATAAGACCCATATCTATCACAGAGGGTCACAGGAGGGATTGAATGGGTTAGCACTCTTAGGACAGTGCCACATAATAGGTTATAATAAACTGCCTTTGTTATTAAAATAACTCTAAGGGAAAGTAAAAGAAGAGATGAGTGCCTAGACTTTCTTTATTCAAGTTTCAACAACTGGTTTCTACAAGCCCAGAGCTAAACAAAGTCAACTGTGAATTAAACTAGATTTGAACCAACAAGCCATAGACCAGAGACAGTGTTTAGGGATCTGTTACGGTTTAGATCTAAAATACTGGCCCCCCACAAGTCTTGTGTTCACAGGCAGAGTGCTCACTTCGGCAGCACATATACTAAAATTGTGTTCATAGGCAGGGCTTTTGGAAGGTGACTGGATCATGGGGGTGGAGGGCTACACTCATTAATGAGTTAGTCCACTGCCAAGTTTATAGCTGACAGTGCTATTCAAGGTGGGGCCTGGTCAGAAGAGGCAGGTCACTGGGGACATGGCCTGGAAGGGAATATTCTTGTTCCTTTCTCCTCCCCTGGCTCTCTCTTGTTCTTGGCTGCCATGGTGTGAGCAACTTTTCTCTGCCATACACTTTCACCATGCTGTTTCTGCCTTTAAGTTAGCCATCCATGGACTGAATCCACTGAAACTATGAGCCAAAATAAACACCTCCTCCACTAAGTTATTTTGACCCAGCAACAGGAAAGCTAACACAGGAGCTCAAAGGCTGCCCACCAAGGAAACGGAGGGCAAAGGAGAGCTCAAACATACATGGGTGTGCCTGATAAGTCTGTGCACAGATCAGCATGTAGAGTGCCTGGCTCTTCTCCGCTCAAGGCAGGGGTGACCATACCATACTTAGGGGTGCTGGAAGCAGGAAGCCTCTGGGAAATTTTGAAGCTGAGGAAATAATCACAATGTTAAGGGATATGGAAAGAGTCTTAAGAGTTCTCCAAATGCCCAGGCACACTCACTCACATTTACAGCTGAAGTTTTTATTTTGTTTGCAGTACTGGGGATTGAACCAAAGGCCTCTGGGATGATGGCAAGGGTTCTACCTTTGAGCTGTATCTCAGAACTTTTTATTCATTTTCATTTTGGAACAGGGTCTCACTAAGTTGCCTAGGCTGGCCCTGAACTTCTGATCATTCTGCCTCTGCCTCCGTACACCTTCAGAGATCTTACAAAGAATTGCTGCTGTTTTTCTCCACCCCTCACACCCCAGGCTCATCCAGTTGGTCAAAAATTTCTTTCTATTCAGAGGTAACCTCTGGGTCACACTGCCTCTTGATCCTAATTCTAGGAAAGAGCAGCCTATAAAATCAGTTTAATCTCTCCCTCTCACGATGGCTCTCGACACTGACCTGAAGAAGCGCTAAGGTTATTTCTTGAGCCCTAACAGGACTGGTACTAAATAAGAGTATTAATTCTCAATAACAATAGTAAGGAACATTTACTGAGTTCTTCCTGTGTTGGGTATTGTCTCTGTGCTTTCTCAGGGATTGGGCAAAGTATGGAGGGACCTGGGGTGAAATAAAGAGTCCAAACAAATGGCGAGATGTAAGCTGAAGTTTTGGAGTGAGCAAGACGGGTTTGAAGTCTGGTTCCATACATTCATTGCCTATGTCTCTTTGGGCTACCAGGCTCCTAGCGTGGCTGTGATGTTCAACACTGACAAGTGTGTAGAATGCTTAAGGCAGTGCTAGGCACATAGCAGCTGGTCGATAAATTAATGATAACGGTGACAATCACGTGTTCTTGCTCTCTCGCGCTAAAAATACTAATAACATTGGACTTGGTATTAATAGCAAAACCTGGCCCAGCACTTACCACATGCCGGGAAATAGTTTACATTTACTAAATCACATATAAGAAGACGAAGGCACAGAGAATTCAAGTTGCCCAAGGTCACGGAATTGTCATGGGAATAAGAATGATAACTTTTACTGAGATCTTACTATAATCCAGGCCTGTAAGGCGCTCGTTATCTCCGTTAAATTCTCACAGTAACCCCCCAATTAAAGTTTTTGGCACATCTCCACTTCAGAGATGGGGAGACTGAGGCTGAGAGGGACCCATCCGTGCGAAGACTCGACCCCGCACTCACTCGGCCTCCCGGAGGCGACGAAGCACGATTTTGGTGTCAGCCTCGGGCTCAGTCTCATGGCCTCGGGCCTCCAACTCCCTCCGCTGCGGCCGCCGCGTAGCTGAGCGCTTCCGCGGAGCAGCTGTCTGCCAGGGCTCGAGCGCCGCCTTCGCGGCCGCAGCCATTGCTTCGTGACGTCACCGCCGCGCCGTGCCCTCGTTGCGTCATCACCGTGCACCGTCTCCCTGCGACCTTTAGGGGGCGGACCCGGGAGGCGGGGCAGCGCGTGACCTGGGGCAGAGCTACGGTGCGAACAGGTACTGGGCGGAAGTCGTGGGCACTGTGCCGTCGCCACTGTGCCGTCGCCCACACTCCGGATCCAGAATCCTGAATCTCGAGCACCTGGATACCTGGGTACTGTGGTGGGTGGGCAGGCGGGGCCTGGAGACTTCGAGGGGTGGGACCCAGCCTCTCCCGCAGTTTCCCAGCCTCCTGGCACTGAGACTTGTCCTGAGGCTAGAGGCCCCTTGCGGTTTCAAGCAGCTTCCTGAGCCTCGAGGACTGTGTCTGGCAACTTCCTGGCCATTTGCAACCATTAGCACCCCCTTTTCAGTCCCCGTGACCAACTCGGGTTCCTTCCTGCACCATTGCCACCACCCCTCCTTCAGGCCTTTTGTTTTTCACTTTTTGTTTGTTTTTTGAGACAAGGTCTCGCTCTTCAGTTCAGGCTATCCTTGAACTCATTAGCCCAGGCTAGCCTTAGACTCACTCATGGCGATCCTCTTGCCTCAGCCTCCCGAATGCTGGGATTACAGGCGAGTGCCAAAACCCCCGACCTTGTTTTCCACTTCTTGACATCCTGAGTCAGTTCCCAGACTGCCAGAGCCATTTCTGGCCACATTCTGACATCTGTGACCCCAGGGTCACTACTGGCCTCTCCTGGACATTTCAGAGTTAAGTGAGTGAACCTTGGTGTGTCGGACCCAGTCCTTTCGGAAGAAAGGAGGGAACTTTCAGGCTGTTATCCTTGGTTCCAGGAGCTGAGATGATGCCTCCATAGGTCCCAGAGATGCTTTGTAGACTACCCTGGGTATGGCCTTATGAGGGAGGGCACCCCAAGTTATCTGGAGAGACCTCCATGTTGCCAGCTGTCCTCAAAGATAGCAGAATGGTGGCAAGCATTTGAGACAAGTTCACTGAGGACATGAAGCTTAGAGAAAGTGACAATAGGAATGAACTTCTGAAGTGACCACAAGGTTGTCACGTGGAAGGATTAATCCTTTATGTTTTCCTGTAGTGTCACCCAGCCCAGTGAGGGAGGAAGGTTCCTAGGAGGCCAACTGAGACCAGCCTTTCTCCCGAAGGGGTATGCCGGTGGCTGACAAGGTAGTTTTGGTGGAGAGTGCAAGAGACAAGGATTAGACAAAATGAGGCCAGGGTCCCTGCTGACTGAAACTCCTCAGTACACTGAGTTATCTCTCTTGGGAGAGTTTGAAAGCCACTTGCTGAAAGTGCTCTTTTTGCTCTTTGAAAACTTGCCTAGATCTGAAATTTGGCATGTTCAGGTTTCTTTTGGGCTATTGAAGTGACAGTGCCTTAGTTTGGGTTCCATTATTACTATGGCAGCCACTTTATAGTGATCCCTAATGCCCAGTGCCTTTTCACACTAATTACTTAATTTTATTTTCTGTGATACTTGTGATCAATTGTTGAAGAAACTAAGGCACTTACTCAGAAATCTTGGCTGCCTTTTTTTAAATTCTGAAACATAATTTTCACAAGTATGGAAAGCCCTTTTGAAAATATACCATTTATTCAACTCTGCTTGGGTCACATGCTCTCTCATGGGTTTCTGAAAGTAATCCATTCCTTGTGTTTGTTTCACAACCAAGGCGCTGATGTTTGAACTGGAAACTTCAACTTTTGAAAGAATCTTCAGGATAGCTTTGAACTCCACAGGTTAGAAATCTGTCAGAACACTTCCTCCAGCTAGCATGCCTCTCCCTGTGGGGGTTTCCTGGAGAGGATCTTGAAGAGATCATTCTTCAGACAGCCACCCACACTGATGCTCATTGTACCTGCCTAATGGATTTGGCTTTTCCAGTCATCTCTTGCTTTATTATATTTCCTGCCACAGTTCTAGAAGCTGTATAGATACTCGTGGAACTGAGAGGTCTGCAAGAAAGGGAAATGGCACTTACCTGTTGACTAAAAATGAAATTTCAAGTGGCAGTTGTGACAAAAGACTCTTAATCTTTCCACACCTGGATTCACTGGATTGGGGATACAGCTGGAGAACAAGAAGTGATACTGGAAAGGGGAACCCAAATGAAGAGGATGAGGCCTGCTGGAGAGTAAATGGCCGCCTCCACCTCTCCAGGGACAAAGTCAGCCTCTTGGTGAGTATCTGGGCCTGCTGTAGCTATAGCTCTCACCAGACTGCTGGGTGGATCTCTAGGGTGATTGAAAACCCCCAGCCAGATTGTTTTGATGTTATTAAGAAAAAGAGTCATTTTCCTCAAGCCACCACATTTAGAGCTAATGTGTTTTGTTTTGTTCATGGTAATGGGGATTGAACCCAGGGGCTCTCTATCGCTGAGCAATGCCCCCAGTCTTTTAAAAAAAATTTTGTTTTGAGACAGGGTCTTGCCAAGTCATTAAATTGCCTAGGCTGGGCTCTCACTTGTTATTCTCCTTTCTCACCCTCCCGGAGGGCTGGGATTACAGGGGTGCTACCATGCCCAACTGAGAGCAAATGTCTCTTAACCTTGCAAGCCTTTTGCACCATTTAAAGGAGTTCAGTATCGCTGGTAGATTGTAGAAAAGATGACCACAGCTGATTACGAAGCCAGGTTTGATAATAGCCTGGGTGTGATTCTTTACTGTGGGGAGACGAGGAATGGTTACAGTTGAGAATTATACCATGACAAGAAGCCTGGCCAGTCTGGCTCTTGGAGGGTGTTGCACAACATCTGCCTGTAACTCAGTTCCCTGCCCAACCCCTTATCAGCTGATCCTTTTTCATAATTTGATCCAACAAATATGAAAGTGAAAGACATTGTTTCACCAGACTTAACAGATTGTATATATACTGCTTATAGCCCAGTGTGGTGGTGCATGCCTACAATCCCAGCACTTTGGGAGGCTGATCAAAAGTCCAAGCCCATCCTGAGCAACCTGGGGATATAGTGAGGGACTTGGGTTCAGTCCACAATACCAAAAAAAAAAATAAAAAAAAAATAAAATTATATGCTGGTTATATATGTGCAAGTCAAGAGTAGAGCAGTTCAGGGTATACTTTTTTTCAGAACTTGGGGAAAGGGGAGGATAGGGCTGGGGGAGGGAGCAGTTCCTGAGTTGACTTTGAAACATTTATTGAGACTATTTTTTCGGTTGTACTGGGAATTAAACCCAGGTTCTTGCATTTGATAGGCAACTGTTGTATCACTGAGCTCCATCCTGATTCTTATTTTATTTTGGGATTGGCTCTCACTAAGTTGCCCAGGCTGGCCTGGAACTTGTAGTGCTCTTACCTCAGCCTCAAGAGTAGCTAGGATTCAGCAGCATACTTCATGGACCTTGAGAAAACAATCCAAAAATTCATTTGGAACAAGAAGAGACCCAGAATAGCAAAAGCAATTCTAGGTAACAG